CCTGGCCAGTCAGTCTTCTTGTGCACAGATTGTTGTCGTAAAGTATGAGACTACCATGTGTTACACAATAGACCACCAGGATGGCTGAACAGTATGCAAGAACTTTATTGGCAGTATCAGTTTGCACACCAGGAAGAGACGGTCTTCGGCGTGTAACGAAGGTGCTCTCTCTTCAAAGAGGGAAAGTGCAGACTGGTTTTATGCCTCCCAGGGTCCGTATTACACAATAGAGTCAGATATATTCAGAAAGTTTTGGGGGAAAATCTGTACATATTTGTGAGGGGAGTTAAGTGCAGCTGCCAGGGGTAAACATATATCCAACATACATCCCATGTTCGCTTTGGGGCACATTTTTAGCATTAAAATGAGGTGTTACATTTGGCTCTTTATGTCAAAAGGCAAATTATAGGACACAGTGACATTTTGTGTGTGGCATCTGTAAGCTGCTGAAACTGGCTTGAGGTCTGCAGGTGTTTATCAGGAAAGAACGCCTGTGAGGCTGGTCCCCTGTCCAATCAGAGTTGCAGGGGTCTGGGTTGTAAATCAGAGTTAGGAAGGATCTCGCACTTCGCCTGATTATTCTTATTATTAGGGAGACTAGCAAGGGTGTGGCTTTTCCTGTAGCTTTAGGAATTTAGGAGGCTGTGATGCCAGCCAAGCCCTGGATCCTCCACCCCTGGGTAACTTTTGTTTCTTTAACCTTAGAGTCCATCTTAGTTGATGAAGGGGCAACCGTCTTGGTTTCTCAGATCACACGTGAATGGAGAGTGAAGATGAGACCGACCGAAATTTAGAGCGCACAGAGGACAGATCACACAAGCTTAGTCCTGAGGCATGCTATTCCAGCACATATATTTTTGGACACAGAAACTCTCCTTTCTATTTTAATACCCAGGGAAATCCCCTTCTCCCTACTATTGGCTCTGAACACCAAAAGGCAACCCATAAAAATCTTCTATGTTAATTTCTTTCTTGTGTTCATTACACATCTTGTTGGCTCTTAATATAGATGGATGTTTTTACATACACATATACATACATATACACACACATATATGCTAACATACACACACGTGTATATCTGCTAAATGGATTGTAGTAATTTACATACCCAGCAGCATTGTATGAAAGTGTATGATTCATTTTGTCCTTACCAACATTAAGTAATAGCATTTCAAAAATATTTGATAATTGCATAGGCAAAAACATATTATTGTTTTTATTATATATTTTAATTTTCTTTTTATTTAAGACAGAGTCTTGCTCTGTTGCCCAGGCTGGAATGCAGTGGCATGATCTTGGCTCTCTGCAACCTCTGCAGGGAGCCAAGCCATTCCCCTGCCTCAGCCTCCAGAGTTGCTGAGATTACAGGTGCCCCCCGCCATGCCCAGCTAATTTCTATATTTTTGTAGAGAGGGGGTTTCACCATGTTGGCCAGGATGGTCTCAAACTACCAACTTCAAGTGATCTGCTCGCCTCAGCTTCCCAAAGTGCTGGGATTTCAGGCATGAGCCTCCACACCCAGCCTGTTTTTTATATATTTTAAATATTATAATTCTTTTTACAGCTTAAATTAGGACTTAAAATGTTAATTTATCCTCAGATAAAATGCATTATTAATTTCTAATGTTATTTTATTCTCAGCTGTGTTTGCCTAACTGCAAATATTCAAAAGAGCTTAAATACCACAGAACCAAAGCTATTTTAATTTTTTTAAAGATCTGATCATTTCCCTTTAGTAATTTGAGGCTACTTTTGATTACTTTAAGATTTTAATTTAATATGCAGCTTTTCCATATATATTCTTTTTACTGTGTCTCTATAATCTCTGTATTTATAATATATGCCTTAAAATACCAATTGCATATATTTCTTTTCTTTTGGGTTTTGAATTATCATACAGTCAAATGGACTTTTGGCTTTGGTGTACAGTTCTGTGAACTTAAGTCTAGATTTCTGTGACCACTAGAACAATCAAGCCGGAGAACTGTTCTGTCTTTCCCCCAAATTTGCTGATGCTGCTCCTCCCTGCTTCAACTTCTGGCAACCACGGATCTTTTTCTTCATATAGTTTTGTCTTTTCAAGAATGTCGTGTCCATGCAATTACGTAGTGTCTTATTCTGCATGTCTTAAATGGCTCATATGGCTGACCATTTTTCCACAATTAGTTGCAACTATGATTCTTGTATCCTGTGTAGCTTGTGCCTTTGTAATTTAGTTTCTTGGGTCATAAGCAGTGCTTTTCTTACAAACGTGTATACCCATAGTATGTAAGAATGATGTTAACTTACTTCTGTTACACAAACCATAGCTGTTTCCCTGAATAGGTCTTTACCTTTAAGTTAGGTTATTTTCTTTAAATGTATAAGACCTTACCGACAGGAATAACCACCTGATAAATAATATTGTAATACTCTGGTGATCCAGTCTGATGCAGTATCCCTAAATCTGGGAAACGCTGTAAAAAAAAGAAAAGATGCTATCTTAAAGATGCATTTTTTCTTGTGTGTAGACATTGGAAACAGACGAAATATGTAGCTACAGACTTTAGTAAGGCAGATCATAGAGCTACTGTCAATAGGGTGTCATGCAAGAATGATAAGGAAGCCTGAAAAGATGTCAGAGAAACTTGAAAAAAATTTATAGTAAAATGTTAACTTAAAAAGCCAAATATAATTCCATAACCACAGGATGATCATAGCTTGTAAGAGAAAAACAAAAACCTTGCTAATTTAAAAAGACTAGGGAAAAATAGATCAAAATAGTAACTGATTTCTTTTATTGGTGGAAATCTGGAAAGACTTTTTACTAACTTTGTGTGTCTTCTTTATTTTTCATCATGATCATCTAAAAAGCACTCTGAACAACAGAGAGAAAAGCACTCTGTGTAGTTCAGGTATAAAATGCTGCCATCTGCCTGAAAAACTCACACCTGAGCTTGCAGTTCTATTGAATGATGTGTGAAGATTACCACACAACTACCTATTCTGTCTTCTAGATGTCAAGTGTATGTCAGGTCACATCTGACATACATTTCTAAAGGTCTGTGACCAGACCTTTAGAAAGAGGGATACTGACTTGGCTGTCAAACAGAACATACATGTGTTGGTCAAATCATCAAAACGCTTAGAAGTAACAGAATAGCGCAAGTGAATCTGGTGAAATGGCTGTTTAATCTGCATTGCTTATTAAGTAAGAAATCATTGTCTAGGCAAGACCTTCAGGAGGAGACAGGGTTTTGCCCCAACTCTCTTCCTTGCTGTAATGGAAGCCCTGGTCACCCTGGAGACTTCCATGTCTTCCTGAGACAGCATCTCCCAGTCGCCTGCTGAGCTGCTGTTGCCTGATTAGAAACCCAACCTGGGGATAGCAGGATGACACCAGAAGAGGCCAGAGTGCTTTAACTCAGGCTTTATAAGTCAGTGATCCCTCTAGACTCAAACAGAATTAAGGAAATCTTCAAAAAGTCCCGACATGGCAATCACTCCCATCACTGAAAATGATTCTCAGTGATTTTTCCTGATTTGTGGAGAAATGAAGTTTTGTCTAAAAGACCCAAGTGGCCAGGAAAGAAGGGATTCTCAAAGAAACTCTCTCCGGAGAACTCACAGCTGTTAGCCCCACTCCTGCCTGGGAATTTTAAACTCATAGGGCAAAGGGGGCCCCCTAAAGACAAATTTGTAAGTCATCTACCTGCTAATTCAGCAACGTGATAGATACGGAACCCAGCAAATCATGATGTTTACCTAACTGTCTCCATTAGATAAACTTTCCAAACTCTGCAGGAAATCAGGACTTCATTAATATCTGTGAAATTAACAGCACCTGTCAAACGCTCCTAATTTGTCTCTCTTGTAGAATCAAAGAACACTGGCATTTAGCATACAAGAGATACCTTTTGGCTTAGCTAGATGGGGTATTACAGGTCCAAGATTTCCAGGTATGTTACAGATTCTGACTTCCAGGTCTTTATTATTTCAAACAGTTTTATTTCTTTACACAAAGGCAGAAAAGACAACCAATGGTTTGTTTCTTATCTTTGGCTTACTTATGAAAACTCAGAAAAACAAGTATAAGTATAAAATGGTCAAGAAGAGAGACAGAGCAAGGAAGTAACTTTTTCACTGAATACCAGATGATAGTTTCAGATTAATGGGACCTTGGGAAAGTAGGTAAACAAGAAGAGGTATCTAGTTTATATAAGTGGCCAGAACACTCAATAATGGAACAATAGATGAAGAATTAGACTAGATTCCTGGATTTGTAGCCAACACTTTGATAACTATCATCTAAACCTCTTGGAAAGCATAATTACTGATTTTTGGGCTTTTATGAAGTATTTTGTTCATCCTTAGATGATAAAGCCCTATTTTATAGTAGTCAATGAGTTTAGAGTTTTCTACGTGGTTTGTGATGTTCAAAGGCTTTGTGTGTGTGTGTGTGTGTGTGTAACTGTGAAGAAAGGAGACCTTTTTGAAAATATCTGAAGTAAATAAGGATCAGCTGCTGAATGCCTTGGGCCAATCCCATTACACACATAAATAGACCATGTAAGAATTTTGCGGTGTCGTATTTAACTAGTGTGACTAAAATAGACTCGCTCTTTATAAACTCATTTTCTGATTACTGTGTGCTGTTTCCGGGGCACCTACTTGAATAACAGAAGACATAAAATGTTGGAAAACTTTTGCCTCACTCTCCAGCCATTGGGCCTAACTCCATTAGGTTGAGTGGAATTAACTCTTGAGTTACTTCTCACTAGCGAAGTTGAGTTCAGACTTCCAGAAAGCCTCTCCCCTCGGCAAGTCAGTGTGTGGTTTTGGGTGAGTCCAGCAGTGTCCTCTGCAGAAGGGGAAGTGAAAACATTTGTTCAGATGGATAGTGGACCTTTGTGAGGTTCTGGCTGTCCATGATAAAGCACTGGCTAAGTAGACGTGGGACACCAAAAACAGTATCTTTTATAGCCCCCAAACAGCGTTTGTCTTTTGTCGTTTTCCAGGGTGTAACCATGTCGCCATTTCTTCGGATTGGCTTGTCCAACTTTGACTGCGGGTCCTGCCAGTCTTGTCAGGGCGAGGCTGTCAACCCTTACTGTGCTGTGCTCGTCAAAGAGTATGTCGAATCAGGTAAGTTTGAGTGGGTTTTCAAAGCAGGGGGGGAGGAGGAGAATCCTGCTATGAACTATGTATGAAGCAAGGTCTTCCAGGACATTTGACATCATCTGGTGGAACCAAATCCTACCATTTAGGACACTGATGATGCCCAGCAAAGCCAAGGGTTTCCTTCTGGACACACATTTCGTGATGGACTCTAAACCAGGACCCGATGGCCCACCGGTGGCTCTATTACACCGTCTCATTTTTCCCACATATACAAAAGGAAAGAGACAGTTGGGTTGAGGAAATTACGTAAGGAGTTAATGGGAAGGAGCTCTAATGAGCTGAAGTAGAACATGGCCCTATGTGGTTAAGCCTGGTTACTTTAAATAAGTCTAGGTAGATTAAGAGTGCGTAATCTTCCAACCAACCCTAAAGACTACTTACTGCTGCTTTGGCAAACTTCAGTGGATATTACAAAGCATCTATAATTAGCCATTAGAGTCCAAATTTCAGAAAACATACTTTTGCACTCACTAAGGTCTTGGCTGAATGGAAGAATCGTGATGTTTCATCAAGTTTTAATATTTACAGGCAGCTCAAGGTGAGAGGGAAAGTGGGACAGCCACCCAACGTCCCATTTGTGTGTTCAGAATGTTCCATTCCAACAGCCTTATGTGTAGGGAATCTCTCTTTGGGCACATCGACCGGCTTCCGCTCTCTGAGAGCCTCAGCTCTGCATTGTAAGTTTGCTGTGGATTTCCAAAGGAAAAGTAGGAGGGAGTTTAGATCCCACAACTCTCCTGATGCACACCTTTTCTTGTTTCCCTACGTGCATTTTGATTTTAGCAGACACTTTGTAGAGAATGATAATGACAATGGATGCAGGCTTGCAGTCACTGTGGAAGCCGTCACAGTTCACTTACACAAAAGTGTTTACAGAGAGACCACTGTAAGAGTGCTGGGGCCAGAGCATAGAGGGAAAAAAAGTCAACTCAATAAGCTGAAGGAACTCAGGAAGACTGCCTTCGCTTTAGAGCATCTATTCTTGCAGAAGAAAGTGGCAATAAACAAAAATGCAAACAGCAGGTAATGAAGGAACAAAAAGCAGTGTAAAGAAGAGAGGACTGGGGGCAGGGATGTGCGTTATCTTACATAGGGTTGTCCGGCAAAGGTCTGTGAGCAGGTACATTTGCAGATGCAAGAAGAAACTGACTCAGGTGTTGAGAACCTCCTGCCAGATGCTCACAGTTCAGATTCTGGGTTTCCCAAACCTACTATCTTGCATCCCCCACCAAAAGACTTTTTGCTTCACAGCTGACTTTGTCCTTCCAGCCACTCTGAACACATCAAAGCCAGGGAGACTGTCTGAATCATCTTGATTTCCTTTCTGCCCAGAGTTCTCTCCTGTTTCGTTAAAAGTGTGAATGCCACTTGCTCCCAACCTAAAACCTTTCAAATGTCACAGACATCTTTGAAGTGTAAAATGTCTGAGTTTTTCAAAGCCGACTTTGACTTAATGGGTCTCCTGGATCCAGTTCTCTTTACCCTCTCAGTTCTCCCTGACATTTGCCTCCCAACGGCCTTTTTTTTTTTTTTTTTTTAATTGCTTTTGGCCTTGCCTTTGAACTTGGTCTAATCAGCCATGTGGATCGAGAGACTTTGTCAGAAAAGAAGGAAATTGGTTTTCCTAAAGATTAGCCTGTGGAGTTGGGGGGAGTTTAGAGATTTTTGCTTTTGATTTTATTTTGGGTTTGTTCTGAAAGGAAATCACTCTGAATATTATCATTCAACATTTACTTCTACAGAATTTAAACACATTTCAGTTCTTGGAGTGTAAGACTGTGTTTTCCACAATAAGCCAACAGAACAAGGACAAATAGACCATGGGACTGTGGGGCTGTGAGTCATTGAAAACGGTAACACTCTAGATAGATAGGATCCTCTGTTTAGGTAATTACACACGTGGTGAATGTAAATGTAAAAAGTGCCTTGTTTCGAGGATTTTCGCCCCTTCTTGGAGGACTTTTGGCCCTTTTCTCCAGGCACAGAGAATGGTTACTATCGAAAGGAATTACCCAAAAGGGAAGCTTCAGGTCTGTGGAACTAAAATGTTACTGTGATCATTAATATTGCCATTGGTTTCTAAAAAGCCCAATCTCCAGTCCAATTGTTTTTAACCAACCCACAAAAACTTTCCCCTTTCTATTCCACCTTTAGTAATCTCATGGTTTATATTGTTCCTAGCCAAGTTTATCTAACATTTGAGTTTCAAGCTTATGCAAGTCCTTGTATACCCCCAAAATAAATACTAATTTAACAAACGCTAAATGCCTGCTCTGCTTAGCTTTGTGTGTTGGACAGAAGAGGCCCTCGAAAGTTAGAAGGGCTTTATTTCCTGGCTGTAAGCGGATTTTTCCCCTTTTGCTTAATCGACATCTCTGAATTGCTAAATCTGCCACTTAATGTGCTTATATCACAAGAAACAAACCCTCAAATGCAGGTTTCTGCTTCTGAAATGATTAAAGAATAAATACCAGAGAAAATTCAATGTGCATGAAAGACAAGGAAAAACTTCTTAATTAGCAAACTCTTTGCCAATCTCAGTGCGGCTTTAGGGAGGTTTCCCCTGAACTGACCTTCCCGTCTACAGATTCATTACTATTTCCAGGGCTCCTACCTGCTTACCTTTCCTCACTTGCAGGCTTGCAGTCTGCTTCAGCCTCGCTGGCTCCATGGGTGAAGACCAGCACCACCTCTCCGAGCTGCCCATCAGCTTTTGCTGAGGGTGCATGGTACATGTAAAATGTATCTTCACCCAAGAATTAGAGAAGGAAATAATGGCTCATTATGTTTTAAAGATCATTGCCTCTTACTGTATTTATGTCAAATGGAAAAAAATTTAAATATTTATTAAAGGAGCATTCATTATACGCTTAAATTATGCCACTATGTCTTTCAGATGAACACACAGTGGTTTTGAATTGACTATGTTTAACCCGGGGCCAGTGAGGTTAATCAGTCCTAGGATTAACACTACAGATTAATAAAGGAGAATCTCAAAGGCATAAAAGATTTTTTTAAAAGTTTGTTGCTCAGGTGTTCACACCCAGAGTGAAGCAACTAACTGTTGATTAGGAAAAGAACATTTTGAAACCAACCCGATAGTACCATAGATGGTTGTTTTTGGCTAATTATAGAAATGGACCCTTTGGTCTTAAAGCTTGGAACTTACATTTGTTTTATCTGAGTTTCTTCCTCAGGAAAGGATCCCCACACCTCTCAAAAAAATATTAAAGAACTGAAACTCACCACATCATGGCATCCAGAGACAGAAGCGCCAGGCCCCTGGTTCATCGTGATTGGTTCCTTACCCCTCCCGAGTTCCTGTTTTCTCATACAAAGTTACATTTCTTACCTGCTATATAAATCCCTAGTTTTAGCCAGTCTTGGAGATGGACTTCAGACTGAGCTCTCGTCTCCTCGGCTGCAGCACCCAATTAAAGCCTTCTTCCTTGGCAATTCTCGTCATTTCAGTCATTGACTTTCTGTGTGGTGAGCAGCAGAACCTAGAACGCCTGGTGTTTCGGTAACAATTTCCAGTCCAAGGCATTAGCAGATTGTTGTCTGAGTTACCTACATTGGAACTTATAAGGTTCAATGCATCACCTTGCATCTAGACCAGGGGACTGTCTCATTCTGTCCCATATTGTCTCTGATTGTTTATGTGCTGCTTTTGTCTTCCCAACAGAATTCTATATCCCAGAGAACAGAGGGAGCAGGTGCTACCGTTGAGTTGAACTGAATTATTTTCTAGCCCTGGCTGAAGGAGTAATGAGAACTTACCTTTCTGTTCCTAGAGAATGGGCAGATGTATATCCAGAAAAAGCCTACCATGTACCCACCCTGGGACAGCACTTTTGATGCCCACATCAACAAGGGAAGAGTCATGCAGATCATTGTGAAAGGCAAAAACGTGGACCTCATCTCTGAAACCACTGTGGAGCTCTACTCGCTGGCTGAGAGGTGCAGGAAGAACAACGGGAAGACAGAAATATGGGTAACGTTGTGTAAAGTGTATGCACCTAAGGGATAAGCATGATGGTGGCAGACGACTGGCTCAGAACTCCATGTCAATCTGAAGGTGTGATTACACTGGCCTCGGGTCACCAGGCTCCCTACCACTTCCTTATTGGTGATTTGACAATGGCAATGGTTATTCTTGATGGGCTGTAGAACACATTGACATCTTCAGATGCCCACATCAAAGAGATGTAGAAAGTCTCTTAGACTATGATAAAGTGTTATTTATTTAAAACTGTTAAAGCAGGCTTGGAACATCTTAAATTCCCCTTAAGTGCGGGATGAATTTTTGTCTATCAATCCAGTTGTCAGTTTCATTGACTTTTTCAGTTTTGGGAATAATATTTGTATATAAAACTTAATCAAGATTTATCAAACAACAACTAATGCTTTCTAACTTAGAAATTACTTGTTTAACCCAATAGACTCAGAACACATTGAGATATCAAAATCTTAATTTTATTAAACTTCATCAATACATTTCTTTTTCTTTTTCTTTTCTTTTCTTTCTTTCTTTTTTTTTTAAACAGAGTCTTGCTCTGTCACCCAGGCTGGTGTGCAGTGGCGCGATCTCGGCTCACTGCAAACTCGGCCTCCCGGGTTTACGCCATCCTCCTGCCTCAGCCTCCCAAGTAGCTGGCACTACAGGTGCACACCGCCATGCCCCGCTAATTTTTTGTATTTTAGTAGAGACGGGGTTTCACTGTGTTAGCCAGAATGGTCTCGATCTCCTGACCTTGTGATCCACCTGCCTCAGCTTCCCAAAGTGCTGGGATTACAGGCGTGAGCCACCGCGCCCGGCCCATCAGTACATTTTTAAAGTAAGTAAAAAGCTATCAGAATGTGAGAGGATAGAACAAAGATCCATTTAATGTTTGGTCTTTTCTCTCCATATTTTGACAGTTCCTACAATTTTTTTCAGCTGTAATGAATTCACTTAGCTTACTTTGACTAAGAAGTGCATCATACACAATTCATCTTAGCACACCAAGTTGTTAAAAACCTGGATTATGGTAGTAAATATTTAGAAATGTCAAAAGGAAGGGTAAAATAATGAAAGCGTTAAAAAAAATTCTAATGAAAATTTCTGAGGCACAAAATAAAAGAAAATATATCAGTAAGAAACTGCTTTTACCTGATCTGAAATCCAGAAAATATTTTCAAATGTTTATATCATCTGTGCCAAAGGAGAGAATCCTGACTTTCTGCTTCTTACTTTCTATAACTGATTTTAAGAAATCCACTCAAAAGATTTTCAAGTCACAGGTTTCAAATGGGAATGACATAAACCTAAAAACTAGGGTTTTGTGTCAGTTTTGTATTTTTGACCTAAAAAAAATTAATGCTTTTTAAGAAAGTATAAAAATCTTTGCTTGCATCGCTAAAGTAATCTTTAGAGACAAATATATGCCAAGATTTTTAAAAAGGTGCTCATGCCCATGCTTAGCTATGTCCAGGTAATTCAGTTGGGCAGTATCTACTCAGCACTTGTGCGTTGGCTTGGGAAAAGGGTTCCTGGGGCTGGGCGCGGTGGCTCATGCCTGTAATCCCAGCACTTAAGGAGGCCAAGGTGGGCAGTTCACCTGAAGTCAGGAGTTCAAGACTAGCCTGGCCAACATGGCGATACCTTGTCTCTACTAAAAATACAAAAATTAGCCGGGCATGGTGGTAGGTGCCTGTAATCCCAGCTACTTGGGAGGCTGAGGCAGGAAAATTACTTGAACCCAGGAGGCGGAAGTTGCAGTGAACCTAATTGTTTTATTAGGTAGAAGCAGGAATGGGGGAAACTGAGGAAGACCAGTTTATTGGGTCTACCTAACTTTTTTTTAAAAGAATCGTCAATTCCCCAATTTTAAAAATACAATTCTATTCATGTTTCCGTCTCAATTAATGAAAGGATAAGTCGGGAGCGAGATCTTTTCGTTAAGTAGTCTTCACTGATATGCAGGTTGCCGTTCTGTTTATATCTCTTCAAGTTGCATATGATTTCTTGCCTAGGATTTTGTTTATTTCATCCTTAACAGACTTTTCTTTGCATTCTAGGATTATTTAGACATCAGCACATGGTGGCATTCAGATGCTCATTTCACCAACTAGCACACTTTGCACTTTTAAGCTTTGGTGGGCTTTTTGTTTTGTTTCGTGTTTTTTTTTTTTTTTTGCCAAGGTTATTTCTTAATTTACTTTTATTTTAAGGGCCAACAGGTTGTTTGGGACTTACATTTTCCCTTGCTTCTTTTGGAATCTACGTTTCTAACACTCATTTCTCTAAAGAAAATGATATTCTCACATTTGCCTTTCATGTCTCTCAACGCCATATTGAGAGACACTTTTTGTTTCCCCAAGGTTGTGACTATTTTCATGGCTGTCTCCTATTTGCTTCCCAAAGTGTACTGGAATATGGCTTTCTATGGGTGCTGTTTTTCCAGGAGCTAATTGCTTTAATTTCTCCATCACTACTAAGTACGGAATATTGCCAACTTTGTGGTCACCTGGTGCCAATTTTCACTATTCCATTTGGAAACGGGCCCCTTGCCATAGCTCTTCCATCTCCATTTTTGCCTCCATCTTTACTCCTTATTCCACAAGCCAGAGAACAATGGTGCATACCTGCCATGTCAAAAGTACTTTTTTTTCGTGAATCTATTGAAACTCATATGAAAATGTATAGTTGTCACAGCAATGCAAGCTTATTTTATCACAAAATTCTCACAGCAGTAATGCTGTGACATAGGCATTGCTATTATGTCCGTTTTTCAGAGATTTCCCAAGACGGTGACTCGCACAAGGTCGCATAACCAGAAAATTATTTAGCCACGATTCAAATTCAATCCTGAGTTCCACAGGACATTACTTGCTATTTCTTAGTTACTCTGGTTTACCTGGCTAACCCACAGACATAATGACCAATAATGACCTTCAAGTCATGTTCTTTCTTATTCTTTTTGGTCTGTTGATGGCATAATGGGATGGTTTAATAGATTAACATCAGTGCTCAGGTTGTCTTGGACTTGGATTTGTCCTTTCTTCTGCTTATGTCACTTTATGGGAGATCCTACATCATCCCTTAAAATGACACTTTGTTCTGCCCTCTTATACATAATAATAGAGTACTGAAGTATATATTTATATACACTTATAAATTCTTTCCCAGACCAGTGTAATTAGAATTTTCTTTAGTGGAGGATCCAAGACTTTCCTAAAAATACAATCTCTCTTTGTGAAAGAGAAAAACCACCCCCATTGAATGCCCTGATTAACTTAGGCATGCATCCCAGGTAGAAAGGAAGACGGGGGCCTGGAGGCAGCCTCAAAGAGGCAGGATTTATCTTTCCCTTCAAAAGAAGAGCTTTTTCCCCAAGGAAGCCAGTCCCAGTGCCTGCGATTCTTTTGTCATGATGAAGATCTGAGTCTTCCCTGTGACAGTTCTTCAGATAAGCAGCATCACCGCGCCAGAAAACCGAATAGAATCTGTTTTAGGATTTTATTTCTTCCTTATGTAAGTTTTTAGATCCAAATAAAATTAATGAATTGCTGGGATGTTTTAAGAAAAGAAAGGCGACTGTCACAGTTGCTACAGTCGTCTGATGACAATGAGTGTGAGTACAGTGGAGAGTAACAATGATTGTATTCTGTGTTGGAAATCTCCTGCCATCGTCAGTAGCCAGTGATGTCATTGAGCTCAGGGCTTGTTTCGCATTCTGACTGACGTTTCTCTCCTTCTCTCAACCAGTTAGAGCTGAAACCTCAAGGCCGAATGCTAATGAATGCAAGATACTTTCTGGAAATGAGTGGCAAGTGACATTTCTTCTTCCTGTTTGGGGGTGAGGAGGGCATGGCCTTTTCCTCAAATGCAGCTTATTTTACCTTTGCAATTATTGTAGAAAAGAATAAAGAGGCACAAAATTGTTTTAAAATTCTCAGAGATGCTCAGGCATGACTTTAAAAGACACTATCTGGGCCAGAAAAACGTAGAAATATAAAACATTTACAGCCCTTGTTTTTAAGTGATGTGAATCCATGTGCCCAATGCTCTTAGACTCTGTCTTTATTTTAGTTTAGGAATTCGGTCTAAGTACAAAAGACTGTTGATGTGTGGTTATGTGTGTACACACTGTCTAGGTTTAAATGATGTGTTCTAACAACCTGCCATATTATCAGTAGAATACAAATTAAGAAGTGGATAAATACGTTCCATAAAATTAGTAACAAAATGCTAATACTTGAAGTAAGTCACCTCAAGTCCTTTTAGGAACAAGAAAAGGTGGGAAAACACACGGCTAAAGGGTTTTGGTTCCAGGTTACATGTGGACTTTGGCCACAGAAGTTAAATTTCCCGGTACAATGTGCTGAGACAGGCTGTCAGGGATGTGTATGGGAATCAGATCCCCCTACTTATAAAATCCTAAGCCACAGCATGGACATGTAAATTTACTGACGGTAAACTCACTTCATTTTTTCCTAAATTAGTTTTACTACCAAGAAGAAGCGAGTTGGACCTCATGCATTTATGGTGCTTTTTGAGTTTTGGCTTACCATATATAATTCCTCCAGGTCTAAATTCAAACAATACATCAGAGAAATACAATATTATGAAATAATCACAGAAAACATTATTATGAAATAATCATAGAAAACTCACCAGATATTCGATGATATTGAGGCCTGGTGATTCATCTTTTAGGTGTGATAATAATATTGTGGTTATGTTTTTTAAAAGGCATGCTAACCTGTTACAGATATCTGCTGAAATATTTTAGATAAAAAAATATGATACCATGGCTTTGCTTCAAAATAATCCAGTGGCATGGAGTGGAGGATGGACAGGGTATACTGAAAGACAGTGGCCATTAATTAGTAATTGCTGAAACTGAATGACTGATACATGGAAATTGATTATAGTATTTGCTCAACTTTTATGTATATTTGAAATTTTCCAGAATAAAAATTTTTTAAGAGAAAGAAAGCATTACTGAGAAGGGAAAAATGTACCTGAAATTTTATTTCTTTTTCCTCTTGGAAGGTGTAGATATATAGTACACATAGTACAACTTTTGAATTGGCTGAGGTAGAGTGATTGCAGGATATCTGAATAACCAGATTTGCATAAAAGGTGAAAGTGCTGACCTAAATCATAGTATCAATGATGTTTAATTCCTTGAATAAGATAAATACATTCCTCCCATTAGTTTAAAGCATGACCCAATGTAAATTGAAAAAGGGTCCTGTCTGGGCATGGTGGCTCATACCTGTAATCCCACTACTTTGGGAGGCTGAGGCAGGCAGATCACCTGAGCTCAGGAGTTCCAGGCTAGCCTGGGCAACATGGCAAAACCCATTATCTACCAAAAATACACAAATTAGCCAGAGTTGGTGGTGCATGCCTGTAGTCCCAGCTACTTGTGAGGCTGAGGTGGGAAGATGGTCTAAGCCCAGGTTGTTGAAGTTGCAGGGAGCGGTGATTTTGCTACTGCACTGCAGCCTGGATGAGAGAGAGAGAGAGAGAGAAAGAAAGAGAAAGGGAGAGAGAGGAAGGAAGGAAGGGAGGGAGGGAGGGGGAGAGAGAGAGAGAGAGAAAGAGAAAGGGAGAGAGAGAGGAAGGAAGGAAGGAAGAGAGAGAGAGAGAAAGAAAAGAAAGAAAGAAAGAGAAAGAAAGAAAAAGAAAGAAAGAAAAAGAAAGAAAGAAAGAAAGAGAGGGAGACAAGGGGGAGGGAGGGAAGAAAGGAGAAAAAGTGTCCTTTGAAAGAAAGGAGGGGAGAGGAGGGGAGGGGAAGGGAGGGGAGGGGAGGGGAGGGGTGGGAAGGGAAGGGAAGGGAAGGGAAAAAGGGCCCTTCATCAGAATGCAAGTATTTTTGGTAATTGATTTTAAGATCCCTGCTTTGAAAAACAATTCCATGGACAGTCCTTCTATTCCTGTGGAACTTAAATACTTTATTAGAATGAGAGAGCAAATTCACTTGGGCAAAAACAATGATATTCCACAAACAATAATGACAAAAGCCTAGGAAATGTTTTAAGAATAAAGCTTTGTAATATTTAAAACTTTTTATATCTAGATCCAAATTGACACTCCATCTCTAAATTTTTATATGTCAAAAAATCTAATTTTAAAAACCAAAGTTATGGAATAACCTAACTAGAAAATTCCTTGTTAATGACAAGGAAGAGAGTAGAGGATGCCACTTTCTTTTAAGAATGCTCATTGTTAGTATAAGAAATCATCTTCTGAAGGATTCAGAAAAGCAAAACGTGTTCTTCTACTCAGGGAACATGAACCCAGATTGAAGAGGTGGTACAGATCAGACAATTAGATAAAATTATAACCTAAACCACACAAATACTGATTAACCAAGAGATCAGTGTATGTTGCCTTCATTTCAGTAAGTTCCACAGTGTGGGCATTAAAGGGTAGGAAGAGTTGAGTTTTCTGAAGAAGAGGGATGGCCTTACAAGGAGGAAAAAGTGAAGACTTGAGCAGGAATATGCCATGGGTGAGGGCTGCCGGGAGAACAGCCTAGGTAGACTCTTAGGCTCCTGCTGAAACCAGAATGAGGAGTCAGAGACAGATATTGGAGGGCAAGAGGAGTGCATAGTCTTGGGTTGTGCTTTGAACTAATGGGAAGAATATACTTTCTTTTACTTAAGGAATTACACAGTATTGGTCTACAAAATTTCACTTATGTTATGGAGAGGTGATAAAAATCTGTTCTAGGAGTGTGGCTACAGTAATAAAATAAAAGGAATAGTCTAAAAGACAATACTGTTGCAGAAAGATTTCATGGTAGAGTAGATGAAATATCTACAGAATGCCTGTTAAGGGTACATAGTTGAGATGCTTTATAATTCTTTAAAAATTAGGCTGGGAGCAACGGCTAATGCCTATAATCCCAACACTTTAGGAGGCCAAGGTGGGAGGATCACTTGAGCCCAGGAGTTTGAGACCAGCCTGGGCAGTGTAGAGTGACCCCATCTTTACAAGAAAATTTAAAAATTACCTGGGTATGGTGGCACATGCCTGTAGTCTCACCTACTTGGGAGGCTGAGGCAGGAGGATCGCTTGAGCCCATGACATCAAAGATACAGTGAGCCAAGATAGTGCCACTGCACTCCAGCCTGGGCAACAGAACAAGACCCTGTCTCCAAATAATAATAATAATAATTACTCCTTAAAAATGTAAGTTGAATGAAGGGAAAAAGTGTTGAGAATATCTCTTAAAATAGCTAGACTGGGAAAAAGGTAGGAGTGGCAGAAGTGGGAGATATGGAAAGAAGAGGAAAATGAGAGGGGGATAAGGAATTCAAATTTGAATAACACTTGAGATAATACCATGTCTCTAGTGTTCCTCTTCCATGGAAGCCTCAAGTCCTCTAACTCACCAGGAAGTAAATGGCTCAGCTCTCCATAGCAGACTACTTTGTCCTTTCTCTTTGAAATCCCCTCATGTTGAGTTTTTGAGCAGGAATCATTTTTTCTCTGCTTCCTCTGTTCTCCTATTATTACTTTCTTGTAACTTCAGAATTCCCCATGGTCATCTCATGCCCCCCGCCCTTCTATTTCACACCTTCCTATGTTTCTCTATTCATTCAGTAACCAACCTTCAACCCATATATCATCACTCAGAATTCTCCACCTCCAGGGACTCACACTCAGAACTTGTTTTTCCAGAGCTCATCCTCCTCCCCTGTCAATTCTGCCCTTCTTCCCAGCCAATAAGTACTAGCCTTTAGTTCAGTTTCCCTTTTACCCCATTTATTTGCCCACTTCTGGCATTAACTCGCTACCTAGCCTGGCTCCCATGATAAGCCTTTGTCAGCACTTTGCTCTCGTTAGTTCCCTCTTTGCCATGGATATTCTGATCTCCAAACCTTGCATTCTCCCCTCTCATTCTCCCCGGCTTTGCTAGAAAAAGTCGTACAGCTAAGTGTGTTACAAACAGATGGTATTAGATGACGTCCCTGTGGTTCAGACTCTATGTTTGGCTTCTTAGCAGACCTCTCCAACTAAATTTCCTGTACTTACACATTTTAAGGGGCCAAATTAAACTAAGTATCCAAAATTACACTTACCACATTCACGAGCAACCTATTTCTTTTATAACTTACTATCGTACTTAATTATATAATAACTCATTCCACAAAACCTGGACATAATTTTTATAGCCTCCTTTTCCTTCAACTTCCATATGAGTGCATCAGTCAATCATTTATGTTCATGTTGTCTAGTCAATATTTTGTCCATTTCATTATCTAATTACTTCCTGACTACCTCCTGCCATATCCCATCCATTCTCCTACGGTGGTCCTAGAAGTAATGATGCCAAGCTCCAATCTGACCACATAACGCCTCTGCCCCTGCTGCAGCATTCCAGCATCTGCAAATTGTCTGCAGGAAAGTGTCCAAACTGTTCTAACACGTACACATCTTCTGGAAGTGACTGCTGATCATTTCTGCTTCACCCTCTGCACTCTGGCAATGCCCAGCTAGTTCTGGACCCCCACCCACACCCTGAGGAACCTTAGCTCTGTAGTTTTGCTCATTCCCTTCCACCCAGAGAGAGCAACTTTGGCTTTTCCCCACCATACCTTCTCCCACACATTAGTAGGAGTTCTCTGTCCTTCAGAATTCAGCACAGAAACATCTCTGCCAGGACCTTTCTTGTCCGACGTCTCTCCTTCTCTCCTTCACCTACCTTCACCTGCCTTCGCTGGTATAGTTTCCTCATTTTCATGGTCCCATAGCATCCTGTGAATACCTCTGTACTGACACATTGATTGTCTTTCCTTTTGGACTCAACTCCTTGCGGGACAGCCACTGTCAAAATACATCTCATTAATTCCTTTAACTTTGGCGCCAGGTTTCAGGTGAGGCATGCAGGAAGTACACAATGAATGCATGTTGAACTGTTCAGCTGGACTTACCTTGGCACTTAGAAATCTCCTTCGTTTCCTTTTGATTCCCACACAATGGCTCTTCCTACCATTCCCATCCTCCTTGGTTTCTGGGGGTGCCTCTCCTCTGATTCTGGGAGGTTGATCTTGCCTCCAACATGATTGGTAGAGACCCTATCTTCTTTTTTATATTTTTAAATTTATTTTATATACTTTTTTTTTCCTTGAGATGGAGTTTTATTCTTGTCACCCAGGCTGGAGTGCGATGGCACTATGTTGGCTCACCGCAACCTCCGCCTCCCGAGTTCAAGTGATTCTCCTGCCTCAGCCTCCTGAGTATCTGGGACTACAAGGATGTGCCACCATGCCCAGCTAATTTTGTATTTTTTAGTAGAGACGGGATTTCACCATGTTGGTCAGGCTGGTCTCGAACTCCCGACCTCAGGTGATCTGCCTGCCTCGGCCTCCCAAAGTGCTGGGATTAGAGGTGTGAGCCACCATGCCCGGCAGACACCCTGTCTTCTGTCTGTCTCTGCACTTTAGGATGCAGCTGCTTCCTTCCACCTTCTCCTCCTGCTCCTCTGCATCAGAGACAGCTGCTCCCTTTCTTGGTTGCACACCTCTCATCCCAGCAGTCCTGCTCTATCAATACACTTTACCTCTGACATCCTCGACTCTGCCTTCTCTCTGCAGTTTCTTCCTCATTCCCAAGACATACTGCATTATCCATCTTCCCCAATCTTGAACACCATCTCTTCTTTTTTTTTCACCTTTTTACCTCCATGAGTTTTTTTTTTTTTTTTTGCTTTCCCTAACACACTGCTTTAAAAAGTAGTTTATATTTATCAGTTTCTGTTTCTTCCCTTCTACTTCTATTCTTAGACCCTAAGACTCTGGCTTATAATTCAACCAGTCTGCTGAAATGGCTTTCTCCAGGATTATGAGTTCTCACCTGCTTCTTAGCCTTCAATTTCCTTGATATCTCTCTGTCATACAATGCTGAAAACTTCATTTCTTTTCAACTTGACTGATGCGATATTGTCCAAGTTTTCCTCTTAATTTTTCAGCTGCCTCTTCTTGGTCTCTTTTGCCATTTCTTTTCCTACCTCCTAAAAAGTACGGGTGCCCATATCCCTGAGCCTATTCCACACCATCATATGTGGCCTCTTACGGTTGGCTGTTCTGTGTCTGTGTCACATCTCCCTGACTTGACTGTCAGCCATGCGACGGTGAGGAGCAATACGTTTCTTCAGCACATCCAGCAAAGCAGTTTGCTCACAGCTGCTCAGGAAACTTGTGATTTGACTGACTACAAACAAATGATAGCTTAGACCACATAAATAGATTAGAATCCATTAGTATAAAAGAAAAAAAATGGCAAAAACCAATGAGCTCATTCAAACCAGTAAATAGAGAAATAAATAGTCAATACCAAAAGAATTAAAGAATTCTGTTTTTACATTGACTCTTTTATGATGCTTGAAAAAGAGGATAAAGGAAATCACAGAAAATAACAGTGTAAATTCATTTCTAGAAATTCCTAATATTTTAAAAAATTATAGTATAGTCTAATGTACAAATTATATATATAAACTATATGTTTATAGTTTATAAAACATGTTTATATACATGTAGACATGTATGTATATAAACATATATGTATAGACATGTATAAAATACATTTACTATACATTTAAACATATATATGATTTTTACAGTAAAAAACTGTATAGGGTCCCCAGAATAATTCACTTTCATTCCCTGCATTTAAAAGTATATTTGTCTTTTTTATTTTATTTTAATGCATCTGGACCAAAATAGAAACAAGTCACATGTTATAAACAAATGACCTACTCTACTAGTCACAAGTTGTAAATAGATTTGGACATTTATACCAGAACTTGTGGAAGAAGGTGGTGAACTCAGTGACCCTTAATTTAACCCCTCCTTTACCAAGCTGAATTTATTATTTCCAGCCTAGTTCCAGGTAAAAGGACCTAAATTACCTACTCTTAAAGTATCAGGCAAAGTATTATGTTCCATCTGTGGAACTGTTAAGAGGGTTACTGGAAATGCTTTTTGTCTGGGAGTTGGAGTTGCCATAAAACAGATCTGTGGGCACTACAGAAAAGGCTTGAGTCCAAAAGGGTGTCCTGGGATGTGGCTGGATTCCTGGGGGAGGTTTCTACCCACACAGCTCCTCCTTGGTCTACCTACAGTGTTTCTAGTCTAACCACTGTTAGGGATTGGACATTAAGGTACCTTGGAAGATAATTTGCTTCAAACGCATTGTCAGGCTACTGCCAACTGCTTAGCCAGAATAAAAGAAATTTAGATTGAATATTATTAACTCATTGTGAAATATGATGAACCTGCTATTTAAACGAAACCTCAATGTTTTGTATTTGTTACAAAATAGAAGAAGTAATCCAAGAGTCTTCAAGCTATTGTAAAATTATAACTCTAGAATTTAAATTCATTATCCTTATTTATTTATTCACATATTTATTTGTGTATTATTTTTGATATAGCAATGGTTATTTTTATTTCTTTTCTGTTCCCTGTGTTATTCTCCCTCACCTACTGAAGTATCCATTGTGCTGTTTAACCATGACTGCCTTACAATTTGGTGTTTCATGAGGACCAGGGCTTCAGCAAGGGCATCATGAGCATTCTCATAATTTGACTATCTTAGTTTTTCAACCCTTTGGAAAGATCTCATCTAGGTATAGGGCACTGTAAACAGTGACTATCTAAAGCACTTTCACCAATATTCATGAGCCCAGGGTGAAATGAATAGATTGAATCTGATGGCTTGATGCTGATGACTAGGTAATGCACGGGATTACCTAGACACTAAAAAAATGCAGTGAGATATTAATTTTCTGGCCTTTTTCACATGGTAAATATGGTTGGTAGCTGGTGTATCTGATCACTGTGGACATCAGGAACCAGGACACAATGTCCCAAAGTTCCTTTCCCCTCACACAGCATCCTGGTCAGCTCCTCCCAGTCTACTCCAGCATGTCTCCAACAACTGACTGTAAAGCTTCCTGGCACCTCTGAAATACTGTTCCCAAGATGCTGTCAGTAACCACGTGATTCTCTAGAATTACAGACAGGAAAGCCTTTGCCACTTCCTGCCTTTTCTGGTTGAGTCATCATTGACAGTGACAAAGAGAGGTTGATAGATACCTTCAAAGTTCTAATCTCTGGTTTTGAAACTTGAAGAGGATAGCTCAGCCCAGTCAAAGAGGAGCGAAGGATTGAGCCAGTAATCCAACATTGTTTTCACCCTCTAAGAATATGCCCTGTGATGAATCTATGTTGTAGAATTAAGGAAAGATGCTTAGTGTGGTACCCACCATAGTGAGTACCTGGAATGTTTCAGCAGGTTCTCAGTGCTGGTTCTCCTCTAGCCCTTGCCCATCTCCCTCCCCTCCTGACCCAGATGGAATAGGAGTCGTCCTGTTGCAGAACTTCACTTTCTTCCCCTTTCTCTTCCTGTAGACACAAAGGACATGAGTGAATTTGAGACGGAAGGCTTCTTTGCTTTGCATCAGCGCCGGGGTGCCATCAAGCAGGCAAAGGTCCACCACGTCAAGTGCCATGAGTTCACCGCCACCTTCTTCCCACAGCCCACGTTTTGCTCTGTCTGCCACGAGTTTGTCTGGTACGGTCACTTGGCATCTCCCTCCAAGCTTTGGGTTATGCATTTTGTTGCATCTTCTTAATCCTGTAGGCTGGCATGCTCCACCATGGGGTTATGCTGGAGTAAGTGCTACCTCAGCGTTGTCAGGGACCTCGCCGGAACTGAGAAGGTTCAAATGGTGTGATCCAATAGAAGAGGTGCATGAGGAAGCCAGGTCTAGTCAGGAAAAATGCCCATGGGATTTTCATTTCTGCCTCAATCGGGGGCTACTGGGGGTAAGTGGGAAGGAACAGAAGTGAAAGATATGTTTATTACAAGCTGTTTTCCAGTTTTATAGTCAAAACTTCCCCCACCTAATGGCCCAACCGTGCTGGTGCTACGTTTTGCAACAGGCAGCACTTTGCCATTGTAGCTAATGGTTTAAATGTTTATGAGGCTCTTGGGTATCTTAACAGCCATCAAACAGATCAGTTTAAGCCTCAGTAACCACATAGCAAAGGCTATGACAGAGTAGAGACTTGAAATGACTCCTGTTTCTGGCTCTCAGCATCCTAGCCTATTAAGGGATACTCTTCCCTTTAGGCTACTGCAGAAACTGTTAAAGCACAGCTCCCGTGTAACCAGGGTATCCACATGCCAGATCGACTTGGAGGGTTTTCATCAACCTGCTTGTGTCTAATCACTTGAACCTCCTTTCTCTCTAATCATGGATGTCACTCAGGAATCGGCCCTACATGTGAGACTTTGTTGGTTGCAAATATTCTCAGATGCTCAGAAAGAGGAAATAAAATGTTACAGATGTCTTTGTTCATCTGTAGTGAGCTCACCGAGGCCATGAATTTTTAAATCTAGCACAGGGAAATGTGCTACAAAGAGTCTGTGATGCATGCGTTTTCATTCCTGCATTTTAATCTCTATATGTTTGCTTGGAAAATACAACAATAAAAAAGAAATCAGCCGCTTCTCATTTATTTATTTATCAAACTTTTTAAAAAGCAGCTTAAAAGGAAAAACACTCTGTTAATACTCTCAGCAAATGATACAAGAGGGCTACTGATCAGAAACTACTCTGTGATCTTAGGGGGTTATGAGATCTCATTCACCTCTTAAATGCTGTTGGTGCTGATGTTGATACCAACGTTGAAATAAATCAGTGTGTGCTTTATTACAGGGGCCTGAACAAACAGGGCTACCAGTGCCGACGTAAGTAAGAGGGTTTCGGTTGTAGTACCATCATTCTTTTTATTTAGTTATTCCTTAGGCTATGAAGATCGTAAGCTGCATTTTTTTTTTCCTTTTCAGAATGCAATGCAGCAATTCACAAGAAGTGTATTGATAAAGTTATAGCAAAGTGCACAGGATCAGCTATCAATAGCCGAGAAACCATGGTACGTATTTACATTCCTCTTTGACGTGCAGTGATTTTTATCAAAACGTTAAATGTTACAGCCCACGAATGCTTCTGAATAATGCCAGAACTTGAATCCTTCCATTTATCAGTGAACATCCATCTCCCTAAAACTCTTTCCTCTTCAATAATGATTGTTATCGAGTTACCCAAACCAGAGGGTGAATTCGAAATTAGCCAGGCATGGTGGCATAAGCCTGTAATCCAAGCTACTCAGAAGGCTGAGGCAGGAGAATCTCTTGAACTCAGGAGGCGGAGGTTGCAGTGAACCAAGACCACGCCACTGCACTCCAGCCTGAGCAACAGAGTGAGACTCCAGCTCAAAAAAAAAAAAAGAGAAAAAAAAGGAAATCTCTGCACTTGTACCTCCTATATATACACAAATTATATACAGGAAGAATTTTCATGGCTCTACTTTTCCAGAAAAATGGCACAGAAAGTGGCCAGAAAGCATACTTTAGATTAATTATATGAGAACAATCCTTGTGGCACCCCCAGCTGGAAACGACAGTAAAAGAGTAAATAAAGGTAAATGATGATAAGATACTGCAACATGGCATTTGCAAGGTCAGAGATAATAACAAAGGCATAATTTTATGTTGAGAAGCAAATATTTCTTTTAGAATAAACTTTGAGGTATAATCTGAAGACAAATTATATTTTACCTAATGGAGGAGGGAAACTGGGCTAGCATGTGGGCAGCCTATCATTATGAATTTTAAATTGTTTTAAATTTGTATATATTTAGGAGGTACAAGTGCAGATTTCTTTTTTTTTTTTTCAAATTTTTTTTTTTTTTTTTTTTTGAGATGTAATCTTACTCTGTCACTCAGGCTGGAGTGCAGTGGCATGATCTTTGCTCACTGCAACCTACGCCTTTCAGGATCAAGAGATTCTCCTGCCTCAACCTCCCAAGTAGCTGGGATTACAGACATACACCACCATGCCTGGCTAATTTTTGTATTTTTAGTAGAGATGGGGTTTCACAACGTTGGCCAAGCTGGTCTCGAACTCCTGACCTCAAGTGATTCACCCGTCTCGGCCTGCAAAAGTTCTGGGATTACAGGCATGAGCCACCACACCTGGCCTACAAGTGCAGATTTCTTCTATGCATATGTTACCTAGTGGGGAAGTCTGGGCTTCTAGCGAACCCACCATCCGAAGAGTGAATACTACACCCAATAGGTAATTTTCAACCCTCCCTCCCTCCCATCCTGCCACCTGTAGTCTCCAATGACTATTACGCCACTCTATAAGTTATGATGAAATCTTTTGACTTCCTTCTCCCACCCTTTCCTTCTTCATTCCACAAATCCTCACTGGGTATCTGATTCTTGGAAGATACTGTGCTCTTCCAATGACAGCATAACACAAAACAGACGTGGTCCTGCAAAGTTGGAGAAAGAGATAATAAACAAACAGCTATGTATGGCTTCGATTTGTATTAAGTGCTACAAAGAGAGTAAACAAGGTGCAAGGATGGAGAGTAAGCAGGTGGCCTACTGAGACTCCGTGGTCAGGGAATATTCCCAATGGAGGGAACATTGAAACTGAGAGATGGAGAGTGACAGAGCTGGTTACGTGAAGAGCAGGAGGAAGGAAGCTCCTTACAGGCTGGAAGACCCTGCTGAGGGAGAGTCCAGTGTGTTCCAGGAACTGAAGTGTAGTGAGAACTGCAAGGGCTGAGACTGGAAGCCCACACTGGGGAATGCACAAAGGCCTGGGTCATGCTGGGTTTCTTTGGAGCCTGGAAAAGTGATTGCATTTTGTGCAACTTGTAGTAGAAAGCCCACTTTGGGATGCTGTAGTGGAAATAGTGCGTTGAGATATGAAAGTAAAACCAGAGACGATAGAAGGAATCCCTCAGGCGGGGAAATTGGTGGTTTATACCAGTGAGATGTCAGCAGAGATGGAGCAAAGGGGGCAGGTTCTCTGGTGATTTTGATGCTATAAATGACTGGATTTGCCAAAAGATTAGATGAAAGAGGTGGATATAAGGATGATGCCCCAGGTTCTGGCTTCTGCCTGAGGCTGAGCAGTGTGGTAGATAAGAGAGCCACGACGGACTGAAGAAGACTGGAAGGAGAGATGAATTTTTCCACTTTGAATAGGTGAGTCTGAGATGTGGACATCCAAGTGGAAGCATCAAATAGACAATTTCACATGAGCTTGGAATTCCCCTGGGACAAGGGTCCAACCCTATAAATCTGACAGTGACCATCATATAGGTAGATTTTAAAGTTGCTGCAGAGATCGCCTAGTGAGGAAATACAGAAGGTTCAGGACTGACTACAAAGGAATCTAAAATAAGATGTTAGGTAGAAGATAAAGGATAGAGATAGACGTTGAGAACCTGGGCTCAGAGCGCACTCCTCCTACACCCAGAGTGTATGAGTTACAGAAACCAGGAGGAGAAGAGGTGGGTTGTGTACTGTGCACTTGAGGTGTTGAGGAAATTGAGGCCCACATGCAGATCTTCACAGGCTTGAATCAGAGAAATGTCAGGGGCATCTTGGAGGCGTTAGTATGATTGGCTTGCATGAAGGGTGACTTGATGACATGAAAACAACCTGTGAGTTAATATTATGAAGAAGGTAGACCATGAAGGAGATGATGGACAGAGAACAGTGGCTGGGAAATGAGATTCCAAGGATGGAAAGTGCTCCCCTGGCCAGGGAGAGATGGATAAAGTTGGAGAGACAGATAAACAAGACAGTCAAGTCTGTTGGCAAGAAGCAAAGAGGTCCCGAGCTCTGGTGGAGACAGGTCCCTGGCGCTTCCACAGTTTAACCGGAAGGGGAGTAGGGCAAGACAGTTGCTAATGGGGATAGGTGTGGAGCTTTGGTGGTGGGCACACAAGGGCGCTCCCCTTCGACTGCCTGTGTCCCCTGTGGAGTCTGCCGGCTGGAGGAAGGAAAAGAGAAAGCAACAAGTGCCTTCGAGGAAAAAGGAAGATCTGTGAGATAATTATTTTAGAGAAAGCAAGGTGACTTGTGAAGCCAGACTGTGGAGCAGAGCTGAAAGTCTATTTGAACTTGATGGAGTCAGCCTTCTCAGGAGTGTAATTTTCTCCAACAAAGGGGCAGGTTCAGAGAAGGCGAATTGGCTGGATTTTTCCAGAGTAGAATTTCTTCTAACATTTAGAACCAGAAGGGGATAAACTCATGCGAACTGGTGATTCTGCTAAGACTCAAAGAGGTTAGAGTAGTTCGTTCATGTTTGGTCACCTGTAAGTGGCAGAGCTGGTACTAAAATTAAGATCATAGTCTCTCAGACCATCATTTTGCGTGTTTAAATCAAATTTTCACCTCCCAGACTTCTTCCTTTACTTGATGCCTTCAGCTTTTCTAGAAAAAAAACACAAATGTCTGAATCACTGTTAACCTCAATGGCTAACAAAGTCCCTGGCACAAAGTCTTGAGAAACTGTCAGCTACATAAATAAATGTCTGTGATATTATCTTCTCCGGGGATATTCTGAGTTCTTGTTCACTTAAAGGGACATCATCTTTGGGATTCTTTTGTTCCTCTACCCCGGAGCAGTATTGTCCAATAGAAATAAATAGAATAAGGGCTACGTGTGCAATTTTACATTTTCAAGTAGCCCACATTAAATAAAAGAAAAAGCAATAGGTGAAATTAATTTTAATAATATATTTTGTTTCATCCAATCTGCTCAAATATTATCATTTCAACATATAATGGACATTTGAAACTTCAGATACCTTAAGTAATTTTTTTATACAAAAGACTTCCAGCTCCAGGGTGTATTACTTCACATGTCCAGCACATCTCAATTCTAACTCACCACCTTTCAAGTGTTTGCCAGCCCCATGTAGCTCACTGGTTTTCATACTGGAAAGTGTGTACATAGAGTCTTCATCAGCCATGGGGTCTGGAGCCATTTGGGCCTGTGTTCAGGATTCGAAATGGTCCCCTTCCAGCCTGGACCTTGACCTATTAATTGTTCATATTTAAACTGTGGAATATAAGTGAGTCCTGAAAATTATTTTTTTCTTGGTTGAAAATGGCTATAGTAAGTACTGAGCAATTTTTAATCAATTCTAAACAGCCATTCTAAAGAACCAGCGCTGACCAGTACCCCTGGCGGGAAGGTTAGATCTACTGCTATGCTGATGAATAAGGCATCTGTGCTGTGCACCTTCCCAAAGGAGCTGTGGAGTTAGAAACTTCTGCAGAGATGATAAACCTTTAGAAAATAAAGCATTTTATCCTACACAAGAATATTGACATTCTTACCAGGAATGCAACTAACCCAAGTGTTTAGTTGTTGTTCATGCAATAAGTTTGATTTAAACTCTGGAAAACTATTTTTTTAAAAAATTCTAGGCCGGACGCGGTGGCTCACGCCTGTAATCCCAGCACTTTTGGAGGCTTACACAGGTGGATCATGAGGTCAGGAGATGGAGACCATACTGGTTAACACAGTGAAACCCCGTCTCTACTAAAAATACAAAAAAATTAGCCGGGCATAGTGGTGGGCTCCTGTAGTCCCAGCTACTCGGGAAGCTGAGGCAAGAAAATGGTGTGAACCCAGGAGGCGGAGCTTGCAGTGAGCCAAGATCGTGCCCCTGCCCTCCAGCCTAGGCGACTGAGTGAGACTCCATCTCAAAAAAAAAAACTATATCGATCACTAGCATCCTTCTCCCACTCCCCTCTTCCCATCCCGCTAAGTCTTCACATTTATTTTGAGACAGAAAAGAGAATGGCTGGACTCTGATTCTGACTGCCAAGCTTATAGATATCCCAGCTCTAGAGCTGTGTGTCCTGGGCAAGTTTCTAACCTTCTCTGTGCTTCATCTCCTCATCTGTCAAAGGAGAACAGTAATAGAAGCTACTTCAAATGGGGTATTTTGAGGATTACGTGAGCTATCACCTGTGTAGTAGATGATGCATGTGACATATTTGTTAACCGCACCTGGCAGGAACTGCCCCCTCCTCTTGCCACCTCAGTTCACGAATAATAGGTGTGAAATGCTTCTCACATGAGGCAGTAATACTGATAAACCCATAGAAATGTTTCCTTTAAAGAAGGCATTCTCTTTTACATCTTCCAAAGGTTAAAAGCACTAGTTCTGGACTGAAAGAGAAAAGAAAATATTTATACTAAAACAGGAAGGGAATCTTCATCTATTTAAATGGAAGCAGTGTTTCCTTAGCGCTTGTTTAAATAACCCTCCTGCCATCTTCCTGAGCTGTTAGCCTGTCTGTGCAGATGCCTCAGATTTCAGTTGTCTACAGGGTGCTTGCTACATGCAGAAGGCAAGCATATGCCCCCTCACCTACAGTTGCTGAGGGCTGCCTGCCGTCTTCAGACATGACTCCAGGGCTTGACAAGTGACAATGATGGTTTAAAATGCACACAATGCCAGTGTTTTCATTATGACCTCTGTCAGTTATGCAAAGGTATCCGCAAGAACATCCAAAGTCGGGGCACCAGGGACATACGCGTGATTTCACCTTCTGCCTTTCTTTCAGTTCCACAAGGAGAGATTCAAAATTGACATGCCACACAGATTTAAAGTCTACAATTACAAGAGCCCGACCTTCTGTGAGCACTGTGGGACCCTGCTGTGGGGACTGGCACGGCAAGGGCTCAAGTGTGATGGTGAGTCCAGCGGGGGGTGAGCATGGTCCCACGTGGACCCTCTAGGGGATGGAGTGAGGTTTTCTGGGGAACTGGAGGGAGGATATAGGGGGGACGACTTCCACACCCAGCCCAGACAACTCGTGATCATAAGTGTGGTCTTCTGGGGCAATAAGCCACTATGTTCCTTTCCTTGCACCCTGCCACACCCCCACCCCCACATCCCAGAAAAGAGCACAACAGTTCAGGTTCAAGATCAAAGCTCCTAGCTCCATCACCTTCTGTCGTACCAGAGCCCTGGGGGAAATGAAGACAGTGTTTCTCCTCTCACTGGTCTTTCTACTAGTAGTTTCCTCAGTGGGTTCTGGGCTGCCCTTCCTAATCCCAACAGGTCTAGCTGTATGGTACTCCAACCCTTCTCCTTTGCACCAGCTAGTAAGATTCTTTCTGTCATCTCATCAAAGAGCAAGCCCAGCACATTCATTTGGCTGACGCAAGGTCCTGCACAGAAATTCTATAACATTAGCTTGAGCATCCATCCCTAAACCATTGCTCTGAACTCCAAGTGCCCAGTAAGAGGCAGGCCCGGCTCTAACCGCCATTGCCTGTTCTCTGGTCTTTCTTCCAAGGCCGGGATCGCAGCAGAGCCTAACCGGCGATTCATTACTGTTGGAGTTTCTCAGACCTACCATCAAAAAAGGAAACAAGGCAAGGTTTTCTTGCTGTACAACCCCAAGTTGCTAAGGCGATAATGTTTAGAAGCGGAGATGCTGTTACACTAGGATTAAGGACTAGGGAAGAAAAAAAGAAAAAAAAAACCACGAAAACTGACAAGGCACTCTGCTTTCTGGTTGGGAAGAGACAGGGGCAGGGCCCAGAGAATGGAGCCACAAAAGGAGAGCCACCTGCTGCATACAGACAGTTTCTTATTGTTTTCTTCTTCTTTTACTTTTTTTTTTCTTTTTTTTTTTTTTTTTTTTTTGAGACAGGGTCTCACTTTGTTACCCAGACTGGAGTGCAGTAGCTCAATCACAGCTCACTGCAGCCTTGACTTCCTGGGCTCAAGCAATCCTCCCACCTCAGCCTCTCAAGTAGCTGGGACCACAGGCATGTGCTACCATGCCTATTTTTTTTTTTTTTTTTTAGAGATAGGGTCTCTATGTTGCCCAGGCTGGTCTCAAACTCCTGGGTTCAAGCAATCTTGTCTCCTCAGCCTCCAAAAGTGCTGGAATTACAGGAGTGAGTCACCATGCCTGGTGAGCACAGACCTTTTCTTATGATGAAGTATTAAATATACAAGCCACTTTATTTTTTCTTGGCAGCCGTATTTTGATCAGTGCTACTGAGTAATGTACGTCCTCTCTTTTGAGTGATGAGGTACGTGATGGAAGGGGGCACAGCATCTTCCGCATTCTCGCCTTCTTCATCCCAACCGTGTTCACGTGTCTGCTGGATCCCAGAGCGACGTCTCAGTGGAGGCAGGAGGGGTTAGGTTTTCAATTCATTACCTAAAGCAGACATCCCAGGAAGCCAACTTTAGCCTCAAGAACCCCTTCCTGACCCCAAAGGACACTGACACGCTTTTCTCTACACCCCTGTTCAAGAAGACCTGGATAGGCAGGGTGTTAAGAGTTCATTAAGACTTCAGAGGCAACACCTAGTGTCCCGGCATCCTGACCGTATCCACAGAAACAGGAATAAAGAAATTCTCCCCTCTTGGTTCTCCTGTGATGGTCTCAGGTCGGGTTCTATGTCCTGGGAGCCCAAGAATCCACTTACAAGAAGAGCTGGTCCCAGCAGTGCCGCAGCACAGCTTAGAACTCCCCGGGGTTCCTGGGCGTGATTGCAGGGCTCGTGCCTGCTTCGTTTCATTTCTTTCCTCGAATATTCTTTCCTTTCCGTTCCATTCTGTTCCCCGCTCTCTCCTACCATCTTCATTTCAAGTGTTCCCCTCCCCCTTTTCTTTTGTCCCCTCTGCTCTCCCTCCGGTGCCCTGGTTTGTTTTCCATTCTTGCTTCTGACATCCCCCGGGTCCCTGACCCTCCACTGTGCTCTCTCCATACGCGCTGCTCACCCCGCACGCCCGCGTCCTCCTCTCTGGACTCTTCTCGCCCTCTTCTCCGGCTCTCTTCCCTCCCTCTCTGCCTCCCTTGCATCCTGCCTTCTTACAAGCCGTCTTCTTAGGTAAGGCCTTCTTTAGCCTTTTACCCTGCCTTCTCTTTCTCCCCACGATAATTCCTATGAAAATAGTCATCCAGAGGGGCTCTTTGCCCCCCAAGAAATTGAGATACAGCCTGATAGGTTGGTAACAAAGACTTATGACCTTGTTGTAGAGATGGTGGTGGCCTATCTTCACGGCCATGCAAGTCACAGAGAAGCCTAGATGTGGCTGCTGTGTTAGGAGCAAAGTGAAACTCCATCCCGCTATGTTCAGTCCTAGCTGACAACCTCACTTTGTGTTACAGTGATGCGTAAGAAAATGGAGCTGGGGCTACCCAAGTTAAAACCTAACACCTTCTAAATAAGGCGAATGTGAGTTATGTGAGTTATGCTGACAATGTGGAATTTGCAGCACAATCATAAAAAAAAAAAAAAAAAATCCTTTCTATAGTAAAGATTTTAGGCCGGGCACGATACACGATAACATACCTGTAATCCCAGCACTTTGGGAGGCCAGTGTGGAAGGATGGCTTGAGCCCAGGAGTTTAAGACCAGCCTAGGCAACAAAGTGAGACCCCCATCTGTACGAAAAATCAAAAATTAGTTGGGGGTAGTGGTGCACACCTGTGGTCTCAGCTACACAAGAGGCTGAGGCAGGAGGATGGCTTGAACCCAGGAGGTGGAGGCTGTAGTGAGCTATGATTGCACCACTGCACTACAGCCTGAGCAACAGAGCAAGACCCTGTCTCAACAACAACAACACAACAACAAAGATTTTAAATATGCAGAAAAGATTTTGCTTCAGGTGAATTTTTATGGCTATATCTATGCCTATAGACTAGGTCTAGTAATGGTTTAATAGTAGACCGGGCGAGGTGGCTCACACCTGTAATCTCAGCACTTTGGGAGACCGAGGTGGGCAGATCACTTGAGGTCAGGAGTTGGAGACCAGCCTGGCCAACATGGTGAAACCCTGTCTCTACTAAAAATACAAAAATTAGCGGGGCGTGGTGGTGGGCACCTGTAATCCCAGCTACTCGGGAGGCTGAGGCAGGAGAATCACTTGAACCCGGGAGGCGGAGGTTGCAGTGAGCCAAAATCGTGCCACTGCACTCCAGCCTGGGCGACAGAGTGAGACTCCATGTCAAAAAAAAAAAAAGTAATAGCTATTTACATAGAAAATTCTGGTTTATTTTATTTTATTATTGAGCTATTTGAAGAAGAGTGGACCAGTGAAAACTACAGGTGAGGGTTGCCCAAATTTCACCTAAATATTTTAGTATCTACATCTGTGCAATAAATGATGAAGATGAAAAAGAAGTTGTATTTGTTGAGCACCTACTCAATGCCAGTTATTGTGCTAAGCTTCTTTGCACACATGTGTGCAAATCAGCAGATAAGATTAAGACCGCACGATTTCACAGCACCCAGTGCCTGCTTCTATTACAACACTCTCTACTCACAAACTCTGTCAGCTGGAGTTTGGAAATCTTGATATCTGATTTTTCTTTATTTTAATGGTGATGTTTCTTTTTCTCTCTCTATTTTTTTTTTTTGTGTGTGTGTGTGAGACAGAGTCTTGCTCTGTCCCCCGCACTGGAGTACAGTGGCGTGATCTCAGCTCACTGCAACCTCCGCCTCCCGAGTTGAAGTGATTCCTCTGCCTCAGCCTCCTGAGTAGCTGGGATTACAGATGTGCACCACCACGCCTGGCTAATTTTTTTTATTATTATTTTTAGGAGAGATGAGGTTTCACCATGTTGGCCAGGCTGGTCTCAAACTCCTGACCTCAGGTGATCTGCCCTCCTCAGCCTCCCAAAATGCTGGGATTACAGGTGTGAGCCACTGTGTCTGGCCTTTAATGGTGGTGTTTCATCAGCAAAATTTGAATTTCTAAACCAATAATTGTCTTTACACAATCACATGGGCACACACTCTCCGGTCCAAGAGGGATCTCTTGGTCACTGGCAGTGCAAGTTAGTTTTTATGCTAGTGTTTTCAGGATTCATGAATCAGAACACTCACCCTGAATCTTAGGATCCCTGAGCTAGAATCCTGTATAGATCATGAGTTCAGTGCTGGGGATCCTTAATCGGGAGCCCCCAGAGCATGCATGACTTGCCCAAGGTCACACAGTGTCCATGCTGTGCAATCTGCCACCAGCACCCCATTCTCCACCCACCTGACAGGTGCTCAAGTATTTCCCCCTCCTCTTTCTTTTTCTTTAACATCTCATGTGACTTATAAAGATGAAAGAAAACTTTGGTTCGTTTTATTTGAGTTACCTTCTATAACTAGGTCATAGATGTGAATTTAAGTTATCAATTCATGCGTACAAGAAATATTGCTTTCTTTATGACTTTGAGATCCACTTAGTTAAGATTCTCATCTGGTAATTCTTGGGGCCCTCTACCCTTCCCATAATCACGCGAGGTTTTGAGGAGCCATGGGTACAGGGGCCTGGAGACTGGGGAATGTGCTCTAACACCCGGTTGCTGTTGGCATCCTCATCTAAGCCCACACTGGTGAAGCCTGTGGCTTTCTGTTTTTACACCATGTATAGTTTTGTGACTTTTTTTCAAAGCTGAGGCCCCCATGCCTGGTCCAGTGTCGCTAAGTGTGTTCTGCCGTGACCGCTCCTGGTGTTGCTAGCTTCCTAGTCCATCCCTTCCCACATACACACAGCACCTCCACCAACCTGTTCAGCATTGCCCCTTTACTTCTGCATCCACAAAATCTTGCTCCTCTCTTCCAAAGTCCAGGAGAGGTGAGGGGCACGACCTTCTGTGCTGTCTCCCCTCCCTGCTCTCAGACACATGCCCTTGTCCTCAGGGACAAGTGGCCTTCGGTTCCCACCCATTCAAATTCTTAAAAAATAACCTTGTCTGGCTTCCTGCAAGAGATGGCCTGGCAGGGGGCTGGGGGACAAGAGGGACCAGGGAAGGAAAACCATATAGGGAAGAAAAGAAACCCAAAATAATATTTCAACAAACTTGCTGCCACAATTAGAAAATGCAGTAATTATTCTGGCGAAACTCCTTAGTTGGTTTTCTTTCTTTTTTTTGAGACGGAGTCTCACTGTTGGAGTGCAGTAGCACGATCTCGGCTCCTGAGCTCACGCCATTCTCCTGCCTCAGCCTCCCGAGTAGCTGGGACTACAGGCGCCGCCACCATGCCCAGCTAATTTTTTGTAGTTTTAGTAGAGACGGGGTTTCACCGTGTTAGCCAGGATGGTCTCGATCTCCTGATCTCGTGATCTGCCCACCTTGGCCTCCCAGAGTGCTGGGATTACAGGCGTGAGCCACCGCGCCCAGCCCTGTTGGTTTTCTTTTAAATAGGTCTAGGTAGTTGGCCGGGCGTGGTGGCTCACGCCTGTAATCCCAGCACTTTGGGAGGCCGAGGCAGGCAGGCCACCTGAAGTCAGGAGTTCGAGACCAGCCTGACCAACATGGCAAAACCCCATTTCTACTAAAAATACAAAACTTAGCCCAGCATGTGGCAGGTGCCTATAATCCCAGCTACTAGGGAGACTGAGGCAGAATTGCTTGAACCTGGGAGGTGGAGGTTGCAGTGACCTGAGATTGCACCACTGTACTCCAGCCTGGGAGACAGAGCAAGACTCTGTTTCAAAAACAAAAGCTAACAAACAAACAAATAGGTCTAGGTAGCTTCTGACATCCTTAAACCACAGTGCCTGTCTCTGTAAAACAATCACCATTGTCCTTCCTCCGCCTGGGCTGTTGCCCTGGCTGTGAGGAGTGTGGTGTGCTGTTTTCTGAACAGCTCTTAGAAGGGGATCTGTTAATGAAAGTAGAGGTGATCGTGGGCCTTAGGAAAATTATATCCTAAGGAGATTATCAGAAGGAGGATGCTGGTCAGTGGGTGGCAGAAGTGGGCACAGGGGGGAAAAGGGGGAGGTGGAAAGAGGTGCTTTTGCTCCATCAAGTCCTATTGCCATTCTCCGGGCAGTCACACAGGTGCAGCTGCCTCAGGCCTTAGCTTCCTGATAAAACTGCCCTATCATATCCCAAGAGAGAAAGACAAAGAGTAAAAGAATCTCAAGACTTAACCATTCCCACCCTCTTTTGTTATTCTTTGTTCCAAAGAAAAGATTTCACTTTTGTAGCCTCAAATGAATTTTGTGAATTAAATAAATGAAACATCTGCAGGTTGAGGCTGCCTCTTGGGCTTCAACTTAAAGGCCAGGGGAAGCTCCTCACAGCCCAGGTAGGAAAGGGGATGTTTTGGACCCAGATTGGAGTGGGTAGGAACATTCTTCTGATGCAGGGCAGATGAGCGCCAAAGTGGGGCTTAGCCCAGGAGAGTTCTTTACTTCGCCCAGGAAGAATTCAAGGACCAGCTGTTAGGAGAAGAAAACAGCTTCACTGGTCAACGGTGTTACAGTTCTGTTGGTGTTATAGCTCCATGACTGCTCCTGCAGAGCAGGGCTACCCCAGAGGCAGACAGTAGCAGCTCAGGGCAGTGCTGCAGTCCTGTTCATACCCACTTTTAACTACGTGCAAATTAAGTTCCTGGAAAAAGGGTGGTAACGTCTGGGTATTGCCAGGCAATGGTAAACTGACATGGCACACAGTGGGCATCTTCTGGAAAGCTGCTTCTGCCCTGTCCCTGTTTCAGCTAGTCTTCAGTTTAGTCTGGCATCTGAACCCCACCTCCAGAGTTGAGTCCCACCTCCTACCTCACTTCCCCTCCAGCACGTGGATCACTACCAGGGAGGGCCAGGGCCAACTTCCAGCCGTGGCACTGTAGGCTTCCCTCCATATCCACAAGGCTCTGTCTTACCTCCAGAGAGAGCTGCTTAGCACCAGGGGGTTCTTCCACTCTTGCTCACCAGCTGCCTTCTTCCTTCCAGCATGTGGCATGAATGTACATCACAGATGCCAGACGAAGGTGGCCAACCTTTGTGGCATAAACCAGAAGCTAATGGCTGAAGCGCTGGCCATGATTGAGAGCACTCAACAGGTAGGAGGAGCATGTGCCATGGACACGTTCCCGCCATGGCCACTCAGCAAGGATGTCCATGCCCTTCTGCTCCTTCACCTGTGGCAGCCCTACGGGAAATGCCGGGATGTATTTCTGAGCACCAGCCTTGCCCCTGGCTTTCATCTCCGTGCCCACAACGCCCCCCCATTTGAGATAGTGATTTGATGCATTTGTATTATGCTGAGCTTTATAAAATCTTAAATTCTTCATGGCATGAGCAATGCAGAAACAAATAAATTCATTAAACTTACTGAAGATTCATTGACAGCTTTATGTGAATATATTCGGGTTACAGAATAGCCTGGGGGAAAACACTTATGTGCTAGCATCATCCCCAGAGTCCTCACAAAACACCGAGTCCAGGGCAACTTTTGCCCCGCTGTTTACTGCCTTGGCATTAGCTGAATTCCCAGATCCAAGGAAAACCCCTCTTTAAGACTTGGCATTGCCTGTATCAGCTGTTTTCCCATCCATTGACCACCTGTCCTTATTTGTGATGGAATGACATAGACAGCATGAGAGAATCCTGTCAGCCTCAGAAAAGTGTGAAGGAGGAAAACATGTTCTGCTAATGCGTAACATATAGTAGATAGACTCTCCCAGAATATGGAGTTCTAAAAGAATGTTGAGGAAAAGAAGAGCTTCAGTGACCCTATGCATTTAGGAATTTTAAATGGCTTTTGTCCCCATGGTTAGCAGGCTGAGCTGTTCCCTCAATGGTGGGTGGTCTGACTCTCCGTATGTCATCTAGGCTCGCTGCTTGAGAGATACTGAACAGATCTTCAGAGAAGGTCCGGTTGAAATTGGTCTCCCATGCTCCACCAAAAATGAAGCAAGGCCACCATGTTTACCGACACCAGGAAAACGAGGTAACTGTCCTGGTCAGCAGTCTAATCAATGTCAGTCATTAATTTCAACCCTAAACTGATGCCCTTGGATTTAAGTTATCAGCTTACCTGGTCTGATAGGTGATCTACCTCCAGCTACCAATTAAGAGGCTCCCACTCCTTAGAAAAGAAACCAAAACCTTTTACCTTTGTAAAAGGCAGGAGGTGGGGGTTAGAAAATGGGATAGGTCTGGAGGGAACAACCGCAAATGTTTTCTTAGAGTTTTAGCATGTTACATTCTGTCAGTTTCATATGGTTTTACAGAAATAAATCTGTCTTAAAACTTGATGGTGGGAAGGTCACAGAAGACATTCTTACTCTGCACCTTTGAGACTTAAATTTAAGGGTAGGAAAGAGAAGGACTCAAAGCCACTTCCATGACCTTATGGCAGTTTTTCCAGCCTACTGTTTGAAAGTAGTTCATGAATGGATATGACCCCATGTTTCTGAGACCTGAGTCGTTTCAGCATACATTCTAAAATACTTATTGTCCTTGGAAGAGTATGGAAGACAAACCCAGGGATTTGAAAATATAAAGACTATTGTAGGCAGGGGAAAATTCCTAAAAAGTTCTCATGTTTTCCCTGACTTAAAATCAACTTAAAAATGTAAAAGAAAGGTTTGGGTTACATTTAGGAGGGGTTGCCGGGCAGTCGAGGAGACCGTGTCTTAGCAATGATCAACATAGGCAGCATCTTTTTCTTTTTTTTTTTTTTCTTTTTTGAAGACAGAGTCTTGCTCTGTGGCCCAGGCTGGAGTGCAGTGGCACAATCTCAGCTTACTGCAACCTCCGCCCCCTGAGTTCAAGGGATTCTCCTGCCTCAGCTTCCCAAGTACCTGGGACTACAGGCTCACGCAACCACACCCAGTTAATTTTTTGTATTTTAGTAGGGATGTAGAGATGGGGTTTCACCATGTCACCCAGGCTGGCCTCGAATGCCTGAGCTCAAGCAGTCCACCCACCTCGGCCTCCCAAAGTTGTCAGATTACAGGCGTGAGCCACCGCACCTGGCCAACATAGGCAGCATCTTGACTTAAATTCTGTGATGAATGATGCAGTTCAGATCTTTAAAAATCTGCTAGATTTCATTTCCTCTCTCTCACGTTGTAAATTGTAGAAATTGATGCCACCGTGCTTGTGAGCCATGCAAACAATTGAAAATCATTTTTTCCTAAAATTTGGTGAAAATCTCTAGAGGCCCTTAATTTGACATTATTAACAGAGCTTGTGTATTTTGCATATTGGAATGTGTTTCTTAAGTTGAACTATTTCCAGTCTTAAAGAAAGAGACTTAGTCCACACTCCAAATTCCAAATGCCAGGCTCACAGACAGGGGGCGCTGCCCTCACAGACAGATGGAGAGGTATTAAAGCTGCCTGAACTGCAGGAAACCCTCTAAACACTCCCAATTACTATGATGGAGCCTCAGCATGGGAAGTAGAAGAGAAAGCACATGCTCTAAGTAACTAGAATGGCCTCCATTACTCCATGTTCATTTTTAACCTCCAGCTTGCCATTTTCAGAGCCTCAGGGCATCTCCTGGGAGTCTCCGTTGGATGAGGTGGATAAAATGTGCCATCTTCCGGAACCTGAACTGAACAAAGAAAGACCATCTCTGCAGATGAAACTAAAAATTGAGGATTTTATCTTGCATAAAATGTTGGGCAAAGGCAGTTTTGGCAAGGTAAGCTACTGCACAGGACAACGCTGTGGCCCAGCTATAGGAACTGATGAGCCAAGTTCCTGGTCAAAGAAACTAAACTCGTGGGTCCACCAGGACTGCATGTGAGTGTCAGAGAGAGCTTTCCTGAGGGGGCTCTGAACAAATAGGGACCCCGAGGACTCTAGGCCCACAGGAGCCTCAGCTTTCTGGAAACCTGTATCTCCAAAGCTACTTTGCTTGGAGAGTGTACATCTCACACGCCTCTGAGTTTGATGTCTTTGGGCACCAAAGACATAGGAAGGTGCCTCAGCCACTTCCTGTTTCACACGGTGTTTGCGTTTGTTTCATTTTGTTTTTTCTTCTTTTGCTTCATTCTCAAGCCTGGAGTGTTGTTTTAGTTTGTATGTGATTTTTTTTCTCTCTCTATTAAATGTCTTCAGGCTTGGATAAGTTTCCTTGGGGTGTGATAGGGCTCGGCTCTGTGTCGCCACCCAAATCTCACCTTGAATTGTAATAATCCCCAGGTGTCATGGGAGGGACCCACGGAAGCTGACTGAATCGTGGGGATGGGTTTTCCCATGCTGTTCCCATGATAGTCAGTCAGTCTCATGAGATCTGATTATCATTTTTTTTTTTTTCAGAGTCTTTCTCTGTCGCTCAGGCTGGAGTGCAGTGGCGTGATCTCAGCTCACTGCAAGCTCTGCCTTCCAGGTTCATGCCATTCTCCTGCCTCAGCCTCCTGAGTAGCTGGGACTACAGGCACCCGCCATCATGCCTGGCTCATTTTTTGTATTTTTAGTGGAGACGGGGTTTCACCATGTTAGCCAGGATGGTCTTCTTGATCTTCTGACCCTCGTGATTTGCCCGCCTCGGCCTCCCAGAGTGCTGGGATTACAGGTGTTGCCACCACGCCTGGCAGAGATCTGATGATTTTATAAAGGGGAGTTCCCCTGCACATGCCCTCTTGCCTGCCACCATGTAAGACATCCCTTTACTCTTCCTTTGTCTTCCACCATGATTGTGAGGCCTCCCCAGCCATGTGGAACCGAGTCCATTAAACCTCTTTCCTTTATAAATTATCCATTCTTGGGCATGTCTTTATTAGCAGCATGATAACAGACTAATACAGGCTGCTAAAACAAAATATCACATACTGGCTGGCTTAAACAACAGAAATTCATGTTCTCACAGGTCTGGAGGATGGCGGTTCACCATCAAGGTGTTGCCTGGGTTATTTCTTCCCAGGCCCCTCTCCTTGCTTTGTAATGGCAGCCCTCTCTCTGTGCCTTCAGTATTATCTTCCCATTGTGCATGTCTGCATCTAAGTGTTCTCCTTTTTTGAGATGGGGTCTCACTATGTTGCCTAGGCTGGTCTTGACCTCCTGAACTCAAGTGATCCTCCTGTCTCAGCCTCCCTAGTAGCTGGGATTACAGTTGTGCCACCACACTCTGCTTAAATGCTCTCTTCTTATGAAAACACCAGTCATATTGGATTAGGACCTGCTGCATTAACTTCATTTAACCTTAATTACCTTTTTGAAGGTCCTGTCTCCAAACACAGTCACATTCTGAGGTACTGGGGATTGGGACTTCAGCATAGACACAATTCAGCCCATAAGAAAACTGTGGCTTGAGAGTCCTGGAAAATAAAATTGTAGAGAAAGTCTCTCCTCTAAATTCTTCCTGCCATACATGCAGGTGGGGAGTTGTCTCCATCACTCATAGATGACACGGAGAGGAAGGAAAGAGCGAAAGGAGGACAAGCAAAAAAAAAAAAAAAAAAAAAAAAAAGAAGGGGGAGGTGAGAAGAAGGAAGAAGAAATAATTTAAGAAATTAAGAAATTATAACCAACTATCGGTGACTGACCGCAGAAAATTTTCAAGCAGTCAAGTGATTTAAGGAGGGATGATATGGAATACAGGCTTTTAGATAATCTTGATATTAAGGATACCTCATGTATTAATGGGGCTCCTATTTGTTTTACATTCTTAGATGGGACTCCTAGGAAAATTTTAATCAGAGATGACTATTCCATGAATCTGTGCAGCCAAAGGCAGCATTATACCCTACACCTGCTCACCAGACTTTGGCAAGATGTCTTACCCAGTTTATTTAACATTAAACAAACTAAAATGCAGCTCAACAATCGCCGTAGCTGAATAATATTGTGCTCCATTTGGGGTTTGCATTTCAACACTGATGCCTTGCCTTTCAGCAAAATCTCCTCTGTCCAGCACGTGGTGGCTGATGTTCATGAATTCTTTTTGTTCATTTCCATAATAATATGAACCACAGCAGGCTCATTTGGTGCTAATCTGAGCGTAAGAGACAATTTTACAGCCAGTCTTCATTATAATTTAGCAGCAATTAATGTGCAATTATAACCTGTTACCAAAAATTGAAAGTACATTACATAGATGGAAACTGTCTTTTCGACTTCTTCGTTTATGGCTGGTTTTAGGATGTTTTACTGAAAGAAGCAATTACTAAAAGAGTACTTTTAATTGTTAATGAAATGTTTATCTTTCTTTGTTCCCATGTGGATTTCTATATTTGAATAAGGTTAATAAGAAAGACGTTAAGTTAAACCTACAAGCCTTAGTATCCCAAGGCGCAGCTGGGAGCCCCAGGTTTCCCCCACTCCATGTCCAAAGTCATCTACTTCTTTTCATCAGGACCCTGAGTCCCTACCCATGGAGAGGAGAGGAGGGGGAAGTATCAAAGCAAGATAGGATGGCCATGTTTCTCTTTCTCACAACACTGAGAATACTCCAAAACTTGTCTTTTCTCTCTCTTCTGCCTTTATATGGCAAGTATGTTTCCTCACCAAGACTACTATACCCTTGTTCTCCTCACACAACTTTTAAGCCTACAAAAACAAACTGTGTGTTTTCTGGGGATGTGAGCATCATTCATTTGCCTGAATTCCCATCTAAGTTTCATCCCTTCTATCAAGTCAGCTACCACCAAGCCACGAACCTGCACCATCGCGTTTTAAACCTAGACTCTCGCGTGTTCAGGGCTGTTGTAGCATCATCGACTTCGGTCTTTCCCAAAAGTCAAGAAAAGAAACAAATGACAAATGACTGAATTTTAACAACTGTGATTCAGAGATCATTTTAGAGTCTGCTTTCCCAGGTCTCATCTTACCTGACTTTCACAACAGTCCTGTAAGTTAGAGAATGCAGTAATTGGAAACTGAAGCCCAGAGGGGCTAATTCGTCTGCCCATATTTCCACAGTTAGTAAATGTCTGTGAAATAAAACTAGAGCTAGAAATTTCTGTCTCCAAATGCCATGCCCTTACCATTGACAACAGTGTGTTGCTGCATCATTTGCAAAACCTAAAATTGTTGAAACCCTCCATCATATGCCATCTGGTGTCCTTTGATATAAGAGCCATGAAATCAAGTGGTAAAAGTAAATTTTGGGGTTAAATCTTCCCTAGTAGCTCCAAGAATCTGAGAAAGTTATTCTTTGAACTCAGTGTTTGTTGTTGGTGTTGTTAACTTCTGTCTGGCAGAGCGTGATGAGCTAAGAATTAAATTAGATAATACAATTAGGTCGCAAGTGTAAAGTAGGTAGCAGAGTGTATGACACATAGGTGGTCCTAAAATGTTTCATTCCCATTTTGGTGTCCTTTGATATGAGAGCCACGAAGTCAAGTGGGAAAGTAAACTTCGGAGTTAAATCTTTCCCTAGTAGCTCCAAGAATCTGAGCAAGTTATTCTTTGAACCCAGTGTCAGTCGTCACATTTTAGGACCTACTATGTGCCATACATTCTGCTATGAATAATTCATTGCTGTGTTGTCAGAGAAAATGGTGATTATTTATTTATTTTTTCTTTTGAGACAGAGTCTCACTCTGTCGCCCAGGCTGGAGTGCGGTGGCGTGATCTCGGCTCACCATAACTTCCACCTCCCAGGTTCAAGCGATTTCCCCACCTCAGCCTCCCGAGTAGCTGGGACTACAGGTGCCCACCACCATGCCCAGCTAATTTTTGTAATTTTTTTTTTTTTTTTTAGTCAAGACGGGGTTTTGCCATGTTGGCCAGGCTGGTCTCAAACTCCTGACTTCAGGTGATCCAACTGCCTCGGCCTCCCAAAGTGCTGGGATTACAGGCATGAGCCACCGTGCCTGGCCGCTGGTTTTGTTTTGTTTTGTTTTTAAGTACACAAGGAGAACTATCTCCCTCCATTCTTCTTTTGGCCTGGAAAAACTGGGTAAAATATAAAGCTAGGATTTATGTGCACTTGCAGTGATGTTTCAAGTACAATTTCTCCTCTCCACGTTCAACTCTTCTTTCTTCACTGTGCACTCTATCTCTCTGGATTTTTATTATACCCTCACTCAGGCCCCTGAGCAGGCAGGGCACACTTTTAAAAACCCATTCAATTGCTTAATAATTTTGTGAAACCCTTGGAAAGAGTACAAAGATAATATGAAACAGTGATGTCATGTCTGAAACCAGTGAAGTGCTCCATTTTGTCTCAGGAATGGCCTGTGCAGGATGGGTGGGGGTTGGAGAAGGAACCTCTTTTACCACCCAACACAGGTGTCTCTCAGGACTCTGTCTCTTTTTTAAGAAGTGGGAATCCAAATTCTAAAATAAAGTTACTTCTTCCCTTTCCTTCTAGGTCTTCCTGGCAGAATTCAAGAAAACCAATCAATTTTTCGCCATAAAGGCCTTAAAGAAAGATGTGGTCTTGATGGACGATGATGTTGAGTGCACGATGGTAGAGAAGAGAGTTCTTTCCTTGGCCTGGGAGCATCCGTTTCTGACGCACATGTTTTGTACGTTCCAGACCAAGGTATGGCTTCTGCTCCGACAACCCTACTTCCGCTCTAACGTGTCTCAGCGTGGTACCTCCTATGGCGCCCTCGTTAGGAGAGGCGGGTCGTTGCCTCCATATTTACCTTACATTTCGGTGTACCTGCCATCCATCAAACAAGTTTCATCCCTTCTACACACCTTGGAAGTTTTACTTAGAATGTTTTAACGTCGTCGATTGGGAAACATCTTTTTTTTTTTTTTTTTTTTTGAGACGGAGTCTCACTCTGTGGCCCAGGCTGGAGTGCAGTGGCGTGATCTCGGCTCACTGCAAGCTCCGCCTCCCGGGTTCCCGCCATTCTCCTGCCTCAGCCTCCCGAGTAGCTGGGACTACAGGCGCCGCCACCTCGCCCGGCTAGTTTTTTGTATTTTTTAGTAGAGACGGGGTTTCACCGTGTTAGCCAGGATGGTCTTGATCTCCTGACCTTGTGATCCGCCCACCTCGGCCTCCCAAAGTGCTAGGATTACAGGCGTGAGCCACCGCGCCCGGCCAGGAAAGACCTTTACTTCTAGATTTGTTTGTCTGGTTTCCTGTTTTTTAGAATTTGGTTTCATTTAGCATAGCAACTGGGCTTCTCAGCAGTCCGTGACTTTGGGGGAAAACATGACAACTGTTTGTGCATCTGCCCTGCATGTATTTGAAGAGATAAAAGTTGGAAAATAGATCAAAACGTAGGTACACTATTATTTTTCTCTTCGAGGCTGGCAGAAAAAGCAGCCTTAGAGTGGGCTCATCAGTGAGCAAGCCCCCGAGCCGGGAGGTGGAGGTTGGATGCGTTTGCATTCCCACTCCGCGTTGGGACCCTTTCCTTAGGCTGAATTTGCCGGAAGGCTGTGCCGTTCTGGGAGGACTTGCATCCTGGTCTCGTTTTCCTTTAAAAAAAAAAACAAAATCCTTTTCTTTCCTGACTCAAAATTATTCGGGATCATTGTAGAAAATATTTATAAACTCAAAGAAGAAAATCACTTATAATCCCACCACTTAGATGTACTCACCATTAATACTTTGAAGTTTCTCCTATAGATTCTTTCTACAGTGGACTTTTAAAAACAAAAACAGCAACCCACTGTAAACACCTCCTGCTCGGTACTCTGCATTTGTTACACTATTTCGTATATTTTCTTATGTCTTTGGATATTCTTCAACATGATTTAACTAGAAAATCTCTAATTTTTGTTCTGGTTTAAATGACACCAAAATGAACCTCAAAGATTAGTTCTCACGCACACACATTATGATTCTTCTTACCTGATTTGTCTCCTCTCTGCCACCCCGTCCCAGCTGTCCACCACCTGCACTAATTCGCAGCCCCAAGTGGGACCATTATGACTAAGGTCCAAAGAACACAAGGGGTGGAGGCTTTTCCGTTTTCTTTTTTCTTTCTCTTTTTTTTTTGAGTTGGAGTCTTACTCTGTTGCCCAGGCTGGAGTGCAATGGTGCCATCTCAGCTCACTGCAACCTCCGCCTCCCAGGTTCAAGTGATTCTCCTGCCTCAGCCTCCCGAGTAGCTGGGAGTACAGGTGTGCACCACCATGCTCAGTTAATTTTTGTATTTTTAGTAGAGACAGGGTTTCACCATGTTGGCCAGGCTGGTCTCAAACTCCTGATCTCAGGTGATCCACCCCGCTTCACCTCCCAAAGTGCTGGGATTACAGGCGTGAGCCACCGTGTCCAGCCCTTTTCCTACTTTCTATCTCATGCCATGATGACTGGAGAGTGAATGAGAGAAAACTTCTAAGGTGACTTGAGCCATGGGAAGAATTAATGAGGGATCCAGGGAATGAATGAGGAAAGTGGACGGCAACTGGGGCATCCATCACCACCTCTGCAGTTCCCAGTAAATTCTCAGCAAATGTTCAATAACCAAATCAATGAATAAATTCCCTTACCTAAGATAAAGAGAAACCAGACCATGGCAAAGCACTTACTGAGCATATACTGGACTCAAAGCACTGTGGAGGATCAGAAGTATATAATACCACTCCCGACCTTGAGAACTTCACACTTTAATAAGAGTCAAGGCTGCATTTCTAACAGTATGAGTAATATTAGATCAGAAGGCAGATGCAAAGTACCAGAGCTGAGAGAAACTAGAAATGGGAATTTGAATGGGCAGAAAGAGCCTTGGGCATGAAAGGATGCTTGGGCATGCAGGAGAGGAAGTAGAAAGGAGTGAGGTGTCCTGATCAGCTTTTTAGGAGAATGCAGGCCCACTTCCTGCCGCAGGAGCAGGCCGGAACTTCCCATGATGAAGGCTAGAGAGATTTTGCACTAGAAACTCCTCCTGGAGATGATAAATACCCACTGGCCTGGGAAGGTGAAGGTATGTCATCTGCAGGCAAAGTAACAAACTCTGCCACCATCTGCGTGCTGTTGGGAGGGTGAAGGTGTGTCACCTGCAGGCAAAGTAACAAACTCTGCCATCGTCTCCATGCTGTTGGGAGGGTGAAGGTATGTCACCTGCAAACAGAGACAAACTCTGCCACTGTCTCCATGCTATTGGGAGGGTGAAGGTATGTCACCTGCAGGCAAAGGGACAAACTCTGCCACCCTCTCCGTGCCGTTGTCTAGATTTTCTGCACACCCGGTGGCTCCCTGTAATCTTTTCCCTTTGCAGTATTTTGGGACTTGTAGCAAACTGCTAAACACACTCTTTTTTTGCCATAAATAAAAACTTTTATTGTGAAGCCTTCATAATAGTGAAAAATTGGAAACAACACAAATGCCTAATGATAGATTTATTGAATATATTATTATATAGTCAGAGAAAATAGTACTGTATAACCATTTTAAATGATGGTATAAATGCTTAAATATTAATATAGAATGATGTTTATGAAATCATAAGTGGGAATATATAAGATTTCCTTTTAAGCAAGAACATAGGCATGTATAAGCATGAAAAATAATGAAAAACTGACCGTTGGTAATTGGGAGGTAGGATTATAAGTGATTTTATTTTTATTATGTCTTTCTGTGTATGTATGTTACTATAAACACACTTTAGACTGGGCTTCTGGGCACTTAGGCAGTTGTGCTTCTCTTGGTGCCTTTTCCCCATTTTTTTTTGATTTGCATGTGTGACAGTTTTTGTGTCTTATGGGGAATGCTGTTGGGAATCCCACTTTGTTGAGGATCGGTGTGCTCCCTTCTCTTGCCTGTCCATCACAGCTTCAGGCAGCATTTGTTTCTGTCCTTCTATTGAGAGATCTCCTTAACCCATTTATGCCTGAGTTTGCAACTTGTTGAATTTTGAAATCAGACCTTGGCGATGACCTTGAGCAGTAGGATATAAATAACTCCCACTTGCTTAGCGTTCCAATAATGGAATGCTAGGCATAAAAGAGTTCCATGCAACTGGAAAGCTTTACCAAGACCTGAGCAAAAAGTGCATCCACAGCATTGATGCCGGGAGAGAGAAAAAAAAACTTCAGCAGAGAATGTGCACATGAAATGTAAATCTGACTGGCTCAAGACTCAGATTTCAAGGAACCGAGACCTTTTAGAAAGAGAGGAAAGAAGGGAAGGAAGATGCTTGAATCACCTTTCCCAACACCCGAGTTGTTTTTTTGAGATGTCTTATTCAAACCTTGCTTGTCAAAGTAACTGATTAAATACCACAAGTGAATGCAAAAGGCAACAATTGATACTTGATATGAATAATGCTTTGTTCTGGGAACATGTTGGGAATGACCTTTCTTGAGAGGACAGTTACCTGTGTATACTAGTGAAGACATCAGATAAGATAAATTAACTATGTACTTCTCCAGGGCATTGTTATTTTTTAAAGGAAGTTAAATTCATCTGTTCTCTTCCTCCAAAGAGCGTGCCTGTTGAATACCAGATTATTCAGGAGATTCTGAGGACAGGTATTCACTTGTTATTAATCAGGGGCATTTGGATTAAATTGTTAAAAGTTTTTAAATTTCATAGATGAGGGATATATCACCTCTGGAAGGGTGAAAATATGATAAAGCCATTTAGGAAACTACGAAATGTGAAAATTCCTGTGGACGTGGATTCTGAAGTTCAAACCCAGCTCTGTTGTTTATCAGCAGGGCTCTGAGGCACCCGCTTTACCCCTGCCAAGGACAGAGAGTAAGAGTTACAGGCAGAGGGGCTGGGAGCTGTAAAACCAGGGGCCCTATTGGGATGGTGCTGTCTGGGGCCAGAGATGTACAGAATAATTCATGGAATCTGAGCCTGAATCTGAATGAGGCTCAAATCAAACGAATCTTCACAATTAATTTTCTGTGTGCTGGATCAAGATGACTTTGTGCATCACCCAGGCTCTGACATAAATTACTGGCTCAGAGTCTAGTGTACATCAGCATTCTGAGAGGCTGCTATCTTTGCAAGAGAAAAGAAGGGCTAGCTATTATTTCTTTTACTTTTTTTCTAACATTTCTTTGTTATAATATTTACATTTTCTGTCTTACATCAAAGTCTGCAGGGCTTGAAATTGCACAATCCCTTCTCAGTGCGGATGCCAGCCAACTTTTGCACTACTAGATTTCCAGCTTAGATTTTTAATAGTTTCCATGACTTACATTTTAAAAAGTAAAAAAATAGGAAAATCCACAATAAAATTTGTCTACAAGAACAGTTGTCATACATTTTTTAACTATATCCACTTACAAGTAGATTTAAAACAATTAGAAAAAAATAATTAACCATAAAACTTTGAAATACCCAAAGGGAAAAATAAATACTGAAAAAAACAATTTCCCTCTTTTTAATTATGCTGCAGTAAAAGAAAGATTAATAACTCAAGTATCCAAAGTTTCTGTGCTCTATCTCTGATAAAACTGTTGAAAAATAAAATTTACTTCCAAAATTTGTTTGGAAACTAAAGATGCATCTAACACTATAAGGATGCTATTTCTTTTTAATTTCAAGGGAATAATTTTCCCTTAAAAATTAAAAGTGAACTAAGGTCTACCTTCCTCTGTGTCTCCTTTGAATTCTGAAAGGCCGAT